ACTTTTCCAAGGGGCCTGACTTCTTCTCCGCTGAAGCCCACCAAAGGAGTGTTCGCGGGCTTCAAGTCACTTCCCTGCAACTGAAGCTGGTCGAACGCGGTTTTGAAGAGAATATCTGTCGAGCTGCCCAAGTTAACGAGTACACGCCTGACCTCGAAGTCGTTGATCCTCAGCTTTATCACAAGCGCGTCGTCGTGAGGGTAGTGGACCCCTCGCGCATCGTCTTCTGTGAAGAAAATTGGCTCTTCTGTCTTTGGCCGCTTCAGAGGATTTTGTTCTTCCCGAGCAGCTTCACGAACTGACGTCCGAGCTGTCACTGAAGTACAACCCGCGACGATCGAGCCTCCCACCATCACGTGGATGGTGCCCCGAACTGGCCTCTCTTCCGGAGGCTGCTTCTGCAACCGTTCGGCCGACCTGTTGCTGGACTTGGGAGCGTTTTTACAATGCTCCCCTCACCGACTTGTTTTATTTTTATCATTATTATTATTTTGTACAAAGTTCCTTAGATATCCACGACGGATGGGCTCTTCTATCTCGTCGCGGAGGTTCTTACAATTTTCGGTACTATGACCGTGATTTCTGTGAAAACTATAGTACAAGTTCATATTTCTCTCATTGGGATTCCCTCTGAAACGGGGTGGCCACTTTTAGTGGGGTGTAATCAGTTTGGTCCGCTACAGGAGCTCGGAACGACTGACTCGGCTTTTCCCCCCGAGTTGCATCTTTTTTCTTTCGGCTGTTCCCTTGACTGGAAGGCTGTCCTTCCCTTTTTCTCTTCTTGGGCGCACCTTCGCCCTTCTGGTTGATCTCTTCCTCCGTGGCTATAAACCTGTTCGTGAGCTTAAGGAATTCGGTTATGGTCGTTGGTTGGTTGACGACCATGTGCCATTTGAACTCTTTATGCGTCACGCCTTTCTTGGCTGCTGCGAGGCGCACGACGGGGTCCAGGCGTGGTATCTGCATGCATGCATCATTGAACCGTTTGATATAGTCTCGGATGGACTCTCCTTCTCTCTGCACTATGTTGAGGAGGCTTTCTTTAGTTTGCGGGCACCGTTTGCTGGTGACGAAGTGGGACGTGAAGGCTTGTGCGAATTGCGCCCAACTTCTTATCGATCCAGGCGCCAGGTTTCGGTACCACGTACGGGCTACTCCTCTGAAAGTGGTGGAGAATGCCACGCACATGCACGACTCACTGGCTCTTGCCAGGTGCATCTGCGACTGGAAGGCATCTACGTGGTCATTTGGGTCAAACGACCCGTCATATTTGTCATGAGGGGGGAGCTTGAAGTCTTTAGGCATTGGGACTGCCAGGAGTTCGGAAGACAGGGGGATGGAACTGAAAGGAGGGGAGCCTTAGCTTCGCCCGAGCTTACCTCTTCTCTGCCTCCGAGCTCGGGTAGGTTGTGAGTGACAAATCGGCGAGCTCGGCGGTGGCGTCTCTACTTCTTGGTGGGCTCAGCATTCGTGCTGCTCACCTCTGTGCTGTCAGGAATGGTGTGTGTAGGAAGTAGCTCAGGCCGCTAGTGATGGTTGCGGACAGAGGGATCCTGCTTGGAGCTTGCGGCCAGGATCTCGAACCAGTTCTCTAGGAACGAGGTATCAGGTTTCGAGGGTTGAGGCGACGTGGACTTGGCGAGCTGAGGTCATCCCGACCTGACTGCCCGCGGTGAGACCAGAGTGGCCGGTCTTTCTTGTCTGCCGCAGAAGGAGGCCTGGCTCTTAGGAGGGTTTTGGGGGGCCTCCCCTTGGCGAGAATGGTGCTCCTCCTGGCGGTGAGACCTAGCCCGCGGGGGGAGTTGCGGCTGTTGAAGCTAAGGTTAGGGCAGCTGAGGGAATTGTTGCTGGTAGTGGTACTAGGAGACGTGGTGCAGCACTTGCTGCTGGTAAATTTGGTGTTGCTGGAGCTGCTGCACTTGGGCTTGCATGGCCCGCATGCATTGCATCAGGTCGTCGAGCTGGCTCTGGCTGGTCGCCAGAGGAACGACAGTCGGTTCAGCAAAGGTCGTTTCTACAGAGGAAGGGAGGGGAACACCCACAGGCGCCATTGCTCGCGACACGCTTAGTCTGGGGACTCCGTCCACCGAAAGAGGAATGGTGAACTGTCCTATGCAAACTGTGGGAACCTGGGTTGTTCCCTGGAGTTACCTATCTCCATGCTTCGTCCAACGTTGCTTGAGGAAGCCATGAGTGTTGAGTTTTCAGAGAAGGCAGAACTGTGAAGGTTTAGAGGAAGGCTTTTAGAAGTGTTTCCCATAGACGGCGCCAAATGATGGTGCGCAATTCGGTCACTCCTAGCTGGCACTTACGTGACTCCTGGAAGGTACCTGAGATGGAGAAGAAGAAGAATCCCCGGGGGCTTGCCTGGCAAGAACACTCTGATGCTTAAGTTAGTATTCTGTAGGAGAAGCAAGGAGAAGATGAAGGCTAAGAGTGCAGATAGCGCGAGAGTAGAAAATCTTACCTCTGTCCCCTGATATTAGCTCCTTATAACAGAAATCCATTGTATTAGGTCCACCGGCCTCTGATAGGGTGGGTATAACCGCCATTGTCAGTTTGCAGCAGCCATTACTGGCTGGGCTGTCACCGCAGGGTACGTGCCTGTCAGGTGTAAGGCACCCTCTAAAGGTGGCAGGCACGACGTTGTCTAACGAGGGATATGGCTGCTGTCTTCAAGCTTGTCGGGTACGGTGGTCGGGCAGGAGATCTTCTTGCGATACGCCGAGCTACCCTTCTGCGAGTTACCCTGTGCCGGGCTATCTCGTAAGCGGCGAGCTACCTGTGGCAAGCTAAACAGAGCTGTCTGGCCCGAGGTGTCTTTACCTCGGGGTATCTATAGGCGGATCGGTGTGTTCCTGTCTGAGAATGGTCCGAGATCCACTAGGAGGAGCTCAGGGGGCCTCGAGCTCGGAGGTAGCTCGGGGTGCCTTACCCCCCAGGGTGCCAGTGCAGTCCGGGCGGCTCCCGGCGAGTAGTCTATTCTGTCGAGTTGTTGGGATGAGCTCAGTGGGATCTTCCCTCCGAGTTGCGGTTGTGCCTGTTGTGCTGTCGTGTTGAGTTATTGTTTGAGCAAAATCACGCCCTCCTGTTCCCGTGCTACGGGGTCGGGCCAAATCGTCCTCCATCAAAATTGAACTGAGAAAACCTAATTGATGGGTGTATATATGATATATTAAAAATATATATCATATATTTATATATTATATATATAAATATATATGCATTATGTAGTTCAAGGTATCAATACACCTCTGTGTATCATTTAGTCACCGATATGATATGAAATGTCCGATATGGGTTGTATCATATTGAAATTTTGCCCATTGTATATATATTACACATATAATATATAAAAATTGAAAATCAAAGAATCAACACCGATCAGCCGGTTAATGTTGGGAATAAACCCTATATTTTTCTTTGTGCAAATCAGGGATATCTGAACCAACAAAGAACAAGTATGTAGTAATGAAAATGAATAACCAAAAACAGAGCAAGCAATAGTAGACACCAAGTTTTTAATGCGAAAAACCCCTTAATGTGAGGATAAAAACTATGGGACCAAAATCCAAATCATCCACTATCAGCAATGAAAATGGGATACAAAGTTTTTCTATCTAGTGAGAACTAGATGATGAACATCAAGAAAGCTCTTGGGTTCCAACAACAAAACATCAATAAAACAAAACAGTAAATAAGAAATCTCTCACCAGAGGTGGAAATACAACAATGGAAGCAAGAAGAGATGTTGAAAACGAACTTGTCTTTTTCGTTTCAGCACTTGTAAATCTCCTTATTCTTCTAAACCCTTTTTCTCAAAACCCCTTTTCTATTATCTGCTATCTCTTAAAGAACTGCTAAAGTTGAGAAAGTGGAGAGTGAGTTCTCCCAATTCGTTGATAGCCCTTGCTAATAATACAAAAGGCTCCTTTTTGTTGATTTTCCCTTTCGTTTTTTTCACTTTATTTCATTTTTTGTCTCTTTTATTTATAGGTCCCACGTCATGAGGAGGACAACTCAATAGTTAATTGGTAATATCAATTTGGTTTTGGCTTGGGGAGTTGAAAAAACTAGTGGGTGATTTCAAAAAAAAAGCCCACAATCTCGTTAACTGAACCGAGAACACCACTACAATCAACAACATTCAACAAAAACTAGCATAAACTACAACATTTGACATTACACAAATTCTTCCCTAACAAAAAAGAAAAACACACAAAATAATGTAAATCAAAAAATAAATAAAGTTGAGTTCAAGTAACATAAGTCATAAGACAATTATGAGTAAAAAAACCATTGGTGGCTTCAAGTCTTTCCTATGTATATTTTATGGAAGAGATGTACATCGAATCAACCCCTCTTCAAATTGGGATCTGCTCCTCATACAGGACTCATCACACCAATCTTATAGCTATATCCCACCATGTATTGGAGATATTTCCCATTAATAATAAGGGGATTTTACCATTCAGTTCACCCTAGGTGGAGCTATTTATTCCCGATGTACAGCTGAAACATGCTGTGAGATCGTTGCGAGGAGTAGATCCACACTCCCCCTCATCTATTCTTGGTTCAAGTATACCTCAAAACCCAAACCCGATTTTGATAAATGGGTATCATTAGGTTTAGAAGACTTTGAATTTCCTGCCCCCGTCTACTCATAATACAACACTACTAACATCTCTCATGCATAATTCTATATTGGAGGATGAGATATTTTCCATGTATGAATAAGGTTATGTGAGTAAAGATCCGGACTCGATTTAGAATAGAACAACTATCCACAATTTCATACAAAATTTTCAACCTTACAAATTCATAGTGCTTTTCTTTTCATGTTAAACTGTTATTTCATAAAACTGTTTCTACAGATTTCACATCGCGTCATATGCAAATCTCAGCGTGCATTGAGAACATCACCCGTGCTTATCATTGAGAGAGATTCAACTGTGCTTTGGGCCTTTCGGGCGTTTGTGGGGGCGCAGATGTGAATTCGTTTCGACACACTGGCTCAAGTTAAACTAATCCGGGCTCGCTCAGTCAGACGCGAGAGAGAGAAAGAAAGGAAAATGGAGGTGGATGACGAGGAGCGGCAGAAGCAATCAGCAGGGGAGGGGGAGGTGGAGGAGGAGAGAGAGAACGAGAGGAAGAAGTCTGTAGTTATAAAGATCCCCTCATATCAAGAAGTCTTTGAGACGTCTCAAGCAAAACCCCCACCTTCTCTCTTCCGTCCCTCTTCCTCCTTTGCTGAAGCCTTCTCCTTCATTAAAAACTCCGAATTCTACTCCACTCCTCCTCCTCCTCCCACTTCGTCATCGCAGTCCGTGCCATCGCAGGTTAACTCGGCTTCGAGGTCTGTATTTGATTCTCTCCTCTCTATCTGCCTGCATTCCTTTACAATAGAAATTTTAAAAAATTAGGTTTTTAGGCTTGTATGGAACTGATATTTCTACTATTAAAGGCCGTCAGAGGCTTCTTGTTCTTCATCTTCTGCTTCTGCTTCTGTTCCTTCTTCGGCGCCGTCTCTTTCCGTTCATAATCGTAATGCAATCCTTGTAAGCCATAGACAGGTTAGTCCATCTCTTTCGGTTTGTCTGTTGGTAAAGACATTAATCTAGTATTCAAAGTATTTATTTCGTATATTAATGAAATTAATTTGCTTTGTGATTGTTCCGCACTATTAGCGGTATGTGGTACATTCTTGAATTGTCTCCATTCGTTTGCACCTTTTTTGTCCTACTGTTTTAGTGAATTACCTATTTCATACTTGCATTGTCCTTGCATGTCAAAATATGTATCAGTATCTACCAAGGATGGTTGCCCGGATAAGGTGCATTGCTTGATAAATGTTGAAAGTATACTTATCAGACTCGATGGTATCCGTATAGTTTATAATCACTATCATCATCAAAGCCTTATCCCAACTATATGGGGTCGGGTAAATGAATCCTGTTTTACCATTCCGTTCTGTTTAGTACTGGAAAAAAATTTGGTACCCAGTTTTTGGCTGTAGAAGTTACTTACAGTGTCTTTGTTTGCTTAATCCTTTCTTTACTTCCTTTAGGCCATTTCAAGTAGGGCCTATTATTCCTTTTTTATAGACAAAGAAAACTATATATCAAACCAAATTAAAATGGAAAGATACAAGGTGTTCCGACCATCTTGGTGGCCTATTCCACCAAACAGTTCGAGAAGAAATATTTTTGGCTCATTGAGCCAAATAATAAGCAATCCTCTTAGAAGTTCTAGGGACATGATAAAAGATAACCTTTTCAAAAGAAGATAAAAAACACACCAAAATGGACCACGGGACTCTCATTTCCAATCCTTTACAAGCCAAAATAGCATTCAGAAAATCAGAACATAAGAAGATATTTCTATACTTTTGATCACAAGTGAAAGATAAGCTTTAAATATCACCCATTGTTCAGCCTAAATACTGTCATCCAATAGGTTTAAGGATCCACCTACAGCAACAATAAAACTATTATTAGGAGAACATAAAAACCACAAGAACCTTTTGTAGATTCTTTACTAACCCCCATCACAGAAGATTAAGAAATACTTACTATACTCAGAATCTCTAAGATTAGGAGCCTTACCAAGATGATCACCAGACATACTAACAGAAGGCTGAGAAGTTTCCAACCCAACACCATTATGTATGAAGTATGATTTGATCAATACTTCTCAAAATCCAATAACAAGATTTTTTTTATTATGATTAAAGACAATCTCGTTTCTAGCACACCAAATATAATAAAAAACTATCACTTTCAGCTTTGTCATCTAAAACCTCAACAAAATATAACAAAAACTCCAAAATAGACACAAATTGGCTTTTCTGGAGAGTAATACACAGCCCTAGCAAGTAGCAATTGAACAATAACAAAACAAATGGAAAACAGGGGCTATTAGTTGATGTAATGGTAAAATTAGGGATGACAAGCATGGGAATGTTGGTTTGAGCCTGAGGTTGGCCGCCTTTTTATTATTGGTAATAATGAGAGTGGCTGCTTTGTGCAAAAGAAATGCCAAAGATTAGGTCCATATCCAGTCTACCCCTCCCAAGATCCCAAATGGCTGGGGATATCACAAGGTAATGGTCCTCAAGACCATGTCAAATATGCCTAAGTTCTCAAGTTGCACTTCAAAGATTTCAATATACTTGAATTTCTTTTTAGGTTTTAGTATTTTTGGAATTTGATATATTCTAACTTCTTATTTCTTGGGAGCCCCTTGCAACCACCAAATTTGTTCATGATATTAGCTTTAGTTTTCTTTCATTGCCATCTCAACAATCTGACCTTCCTGTGACTTGCCTGACTTCTCCAGAAAGGAAATCCTTTGCTCAAACATATTCGGAATGTTAGATGGATGTTTGCAGATGTTGTTTGTGACTACTTGCTGGGGCAGAATTCATGTGCTCTATATTTAAGGTTTGGATTCCCATGCCATTTATTAACTTTTACTTCCTGTTTGGATGTAAAAGTGAATCTTTGGATGCTGTACATTTGTATGCTAGTCCCTTTTACCAAGAACTAAAGAATAAATTTCCTTCCATAACTTAAGCTGGCAGAGAGACCAACACATGTTGTTTGGCTTAGCCAAATAGCCACATTAAGAGAACTACTCATGTAGGCATCCCCCCCCCAAATAAATAAATAAAAATAAAAAATTACTCTATACTTGCTATTGTTGATGAGAAGTTGTTGCTTTTATTTTCACCCTTTCCTCCTTTTGCCAAATTACTTGGAAATAATATTTCAACAGTGAAAGGTGAAACTTGAAATCTCAGTGAATTTGACTAGATATTTCACAAAGGAAATATGGTACAAAATTTGATTATGCTTTCATGAATCTCATTCTTTAACCAACTTGATTATTTTTGTTTCTTAACCATCTTGATTTCCCAATATTGGCTGGCATACATAGCTTCCGTTGAACTTTGAATTGATAATTTATTCTAAACTGGAGGGACCCATGATTATTTTGTTTGAATTGTCTGCTAATACTAACTTTTATATATTTTCTTGGATTAAATTGATTGTTGATGCAGTCTTCGATATCATCTGCTTCATCCAGACTACCTATATTATCGAATAAGGGAATTAAATAAGAACTTCAAGCTCCGTGTTGTTTTGTGCCATGTTGATATTGTAAGCCATCCTGCTCTTTTATTTACTTGAGCAGTACTTCTCTGTCTATTTTCCTTTCTTTTTTTTTGTGATACTGGTTGAGATTTTATATAGAATGCTTACTAGAAAGAAATTCTTATTCAATAAATGTTCTTTTTCCTGATTTCTATTTTTTCATGTTATTTTTAGTTAAGGACATGAATAGTTTGAAAATTTTCGTGTATTGCAGGAGGATGTAGTTAAGCCTTTACTTGAAGTGACAAGGACAGCTTTACTTCATGATTGTACCCTTCTTTGTGGATGGAGGTGCTGCACCATTATTTTTCTTTCTTGTTGTGATATTTTTTTTTCAAGGCTAATGTACCAAATGACAGTATTTTCTGTTCATTACTACCTGGATATTTGATAAAATTTTGTTCATTACAATCTTGTGAACAATATGTTAAGATATGATGTCCAATAAGCAAGGTGCCAACCAGCAGGTTAGTAAGGTCTCCTGTGGTCGTAGTGGAGACTTGGGATCGAATCCCGCCTGCACCTGGGTTGGGGGGGTTATAGGTTGAGGGATGGGCTACCCCTGCTGTGTAGCCCTTCAAAAGAAAAAAAAAAAGATATGATGTCCAATATCCTGATAAAACATCTTCAATTTGTTTCGCTTGACAATCTTTCATTTATTCTCTAGCTTGGAGGAATGTGGCCGATATTTGGAGACAATAAAAGTTTACGAAAACAAGCCGGCAGATATCATTCAAGGGCAGATGGATACAGACTACATGTCAAGGGTATATATCATTGTACAATCTTTGTTGTAGTGGTTAGATATTTTCAGCTGACACTTCTTAATGCCAATTTTCAGGACATAGAATATTGTGCTTTCCCTTTAGATATAAAATATTTAGCACAAAGTATTCTTTCCAGCTTGCTTCAACTGAAGTTTTTGTTTTCTTTTTTTTAATAGCTGACTCATGCCCTTACAACAGTTCGGCATATTAACAAAACTGATGTAGTCACCCTTGGGTCGGCTTTTGGAGTAAGTTTAATGTCTTCAGTAAGATATTCATAGTTGGTGCCCCTATCTTTATTTGCTACCATTTATTACCATGAATCTGAGATGCTTTTTTCCACTTTGGACGATGATTGCAGATGTAGTTAAAATCTCATGATTTATGATATGGTTTATGATTCAAATAGGGAATCCTAAAGGCTCCATTTCAAATATTATGATTGATCCTTTTATGGATAAATTTCATGACTACTGCTTAAACCTTACAATTTCATTCACGAATCACAAATCTTATGATCCATCCAATTATATAATTCCAATTAATTTGAATGAAACCTAGTGTTATACTTTGTCATTTCTTTGTCTTTGTATTTTTGACTGGATTTTTTTAAGCTTTTACTAGAATATGACTTCTTTTTTTGGCAAAGAGACTTATCCTATTTAAAGAAACTTGTTATCTTATTTCCATCATATTTAGGTCAAATCCCTTTGTTCGTTTCAGTCTTTTGTGATAACATGGTTTTGTTTTTACTCTCTCCCAATTTACTATTTTGATGATTTGATCTTTTTGGCAAAGGGGTAAGAAGGGTCCTAAATAATGGTCATAAGAGTTTCATTTTTGTCCTCAGTTTTTTAAGTTCACATGGATGTGCTCTGCAGTCTCTTTCTCGAATTATGGATGCATCCATGGAAGAACTAGCTCGATGTCCTGGCATAGGTGAGCGCAAGGTAATGTTGCAACGTAATCATTCCTTCAAGCTAATTAAAATTTGACTTTCATTTGAGTGTGGAATACTCTTTTTGTTGTATATTAGTAATAAATTCTATAAGCGGAACTCTGGATTCTGTGAAATAATCATTCCTAGGGCAAGGGCCTAGGAATGCAAGAAAAATGAAAGTTCTGGCTATCTGATTTCTTGCACTTTCATATGATCTAAAAAGAAATATCTTCTTGTTGTGTCATCATTCCATCTTGTATTTCATACATGTCTTAAAAGAGTATGCTCTGCCAGCTAGAGAAATCATTAAATTATATGATTATTGTAACTCGTCATATTGTCGCTATCTTGCTACAATTATGAGAAAACCATGTTGTATTTATTTTCAAGGCTGGGAGATATTGATGGTGAGTGCTAACAGTTATGTCTAGGTATTATCAATCATGGCTGTCCTGTCTATGCTTTTAAAACTATAATTCCTTAATTCATTAAATACACTAAATGAATGGCATGTGGATGTGCAAGATAAGAGAGAGGAAGAAAGATGGATGAACAGACTGTAAAGAGAGGAAAATATAGTGAGAGACAGAGGATGGGGAGAGAGGAAAATAAATGGATTAGATTTTTCTGTGTGGTCTGGATGTGAAGCAAGGCAAGAATAGGCATTATATGGTAAAGGTGTTCTTATGAAAAACTTTGTTGCTCTGTTATCATGGACTTTGAGTCTATTGGGAGAGAGTTTTGTGCTACTTAACTATTCTTATTATCCTTGATAGCCTTGTCATGACACCTTTCTCAATGTCAATGATGCCCTTGGGTTTTGCTGAATTCTAATTGAAAATTTCCTTTTTTTTGCCATGTTGGGAAGGCATGTTTGTCTGAAATTTACTATGTAGAAAAAAGTGACGTGGATATAAACATGGATTGCTTTGGCTTGTCACGTCAGCAATTACCTGTATAAATAGGATTTCACGCCAATGAAACTGAGGCATTGCCTTGCCATTCTTTAGGTGTTGTTATTGCCTGAAAGTTGCTATATAGAAAAGGTGAGGTGGATGTAAACATGGAATTGTTTTGTCTGTCACGTCAGCAATCGCCTGTATAAATAGGATTTCGAACCAATGAAACTGAGGAGTGGCCTATGCCATTCTTAGGTGGTGTTATTGCCTGAAATTTGCTATATAGAAAAGGCGATGTGGATGCAAGCATGGAATTGTTTTGGTCTGTCACGTCAGCAATCACCTGTATAAATAGGATCTCAAACCAATGAAACTGAGGGATAGGTTTTGTAATTGCCTAGATTAGAATATGCCCTGAGCAGGCAATGCATCTTGGAGGATGGCTAAGTGACAACAAAGAAGACACACAGACGACCAAGGAGATACTACATGTTATGTTTTATGTATTATCTTTTTCTTTTAAACACGTTGGGCTTCTGTGCAATGTAATGTTAATGTTAGTGCATCAAGTTCATTATGGTGAATTATTCTCTTAAAGTTGTTAGGAAACTTTTAAAAGAAGGCCAAGTTAACACAGAGAAAAAAAAAGGAAAGAAAACATTTAGATATAGAAGCACATGGCAAATTGAAGAAAAAAGGGCTAGTAGTGACAAACCACTTTATAAGGGAATGTTATGAGATTGCTGAGCTAAACAGTCTCACCATTTCATATAATCATGAGTATTGGGAGGCCAACATGGCAGCTGACTGGTTGGCAAATCGTGGTCATGTAGAGGATTTCCAATTCTATCAAAGATCCGAACCTCGTGTATTTTTTATGCCTGGGGTTCGTTGATTTTCTTGTTGCATAGGCACCGTTGAGGTCTTATATTTGATCTTTAATCTCCTTGCCATTCTGGTATCTTCCATAGATGGACAATGATCTCGTTCAGACCTTATTTTCCTACTATTGGTACAATTTGTCAGGTAAGACGTTTGTATGAAACGTTTCATGAACCATTCAAGCGTGTACTGTCCAGCCAACCTGTAGATGTCCCAGAAGCTCCTGCACAGGAGGATGCTGCACCTTGTCCAGTGGAGAATGAGATGCAAGATAAGGAGGCAGTAGGTGTGACGAAACGCAAGAAAAGGGAACCCAGTCTGACAGTTAAAACGGCCCTTACTGCTGCTTTTGCCAAGTACTCGTATAAAGTACGTGGAAGGAAAGATAAATCGCAGACTGAAAACGGTGAAGAGACAAATGCATCATTAGAAGCAAAAGCTGAAAAAACATCCAATGAAGAACCTGAGAAATAGTTCCAGACACGATCTTGAGTACAGGTACGGTTAGAGCTGATACCATATTTCTTCTATGATCCATTGCAATTTTGCAATATTGCATTAAAAACGTTTTCGAAAATTTGTAGCAATGTTGCTTCCAAAAACAAAAAATGGCGTCATTTCCGGTTACCGCCATATCAACGTCAGCACCCTGAATGACAATATGTCAATATGTAATTACGGGAGATGTTCCTGATATGTGGTTGCAACGTGTTGGACTTGGTGCAGGTTGAGTGCCATCCCACCGATTAATGACCATGTCCATTTGCCACCCATTCTGATTGCTTGCTAGTGGGTTGAAACCGCCCATCATGACCCACTTATCTAGTACGTAACATTGTTTTAATTCTCTCTCTCTCTCTCTATATATATGTTGTGCTAATTCAAATGCCACAACCTGATCGGTATAGTGGCAGAACTGAATCGGGTCAACTCGTTTAAAAAAATATTACATTGTAAAGAGCTTTGTCGCTTGTCACGTGGCATAATCAGGTCAGGTTAACCTGCTTTATCCAAAATTAACCAAACAAAAAATCATGGTTTTTAAAACCGAACTGGTCAGGAATCCGGTTATCGGGTTGAAATGGTCCAACCGTTTGAATCAAATGTTTGGCCTGTTCTGACAAAAATAAAAAAAAATAAAAAACGGTCAAAACCATTTGAATGGTTTAATAGTTAATTGCCCGGTTCAGCGGTTTGCTGACCAAAATCAACAGTTTTGGGGGAAAATCTAGTTTTTGGGGAAAATGAAACTGGTTAGGTGACCGGTTCCCAGTTTTTCTGGACCGACCATCCAGTCCGGTCTGGTTTTGAAAACCATGAAAATAACTGCTAAAAATAAAAATAAAAAGCAAATATTGCAGAAAACATACAAAAATTAAGATAATCATAAAACAGAAATACATGAAAACAACACTCATGTTATTGATCAAAATGCAGAAAAACCTGGTCTTTTAATCCCTTAATATATGAAAACAGCACTCATATTATTGAAAAACACAAGGAAAATGCAGAAAATATGAAAAAATGATAAAAATAAAAAAAAAAGTACATTCCGGCACCAAGTAAAAAAAGAAAAAGGAAAAATTGCAGTCTAAACAAAGAAATTTAAAGAGCATTTATGTTTGGTTATTACTTTTGTTATAATCTAAATTGCAAAATAATAGGAGGAAACAATTTATCAAAAAAAAATAATAATAATAGGAGGAAACAAACACAAATGATCAACTTTCCTTGTACTCCATTCAAGGATTTTCACTTTCCACTTTCAAAGAATGGTATGATCCATTAGGCTATGTTTGGTTTGAAGGAAAAGGTAGGGAAAGCGGAAACCTATACAACATTTGCATAGGTTTCCCTACCTTTTCCTTCAAACCAAACATAGCTTTAGTTTCTTATCTTTTTAGGTTTTCCCTCTTTCACAAAATAAATAAATAAATAAAGCTTGACGTGAATATTCTGAATTTGTTTACTCATAAAAGAAATTCTGAATTTGTTTTACATTTTACAAAATACAAGTCTTTCAAATCAAGGTTCAAAATATCGATACGCCCGATACGCCGGTATGGGCATATCGGGCAAATCGATATAGCTTTTTATGCCTTTTTTTTTTTTCACAACCGGTTCAAGGGGGCCGGTTTAGGGCTCCACCCCCTTAACCAGTCAGACCCCCAATACACCTATTGTAGGGGCGTATCAGAGGGGTCCCAGAATGATACGTATTAACTGATACGGGCCAATATGTGTCGATACTTTGAACCTTGTTTCAAATGAACTGTTACATCTACATTTTAGGATTGAAGGTGTAAACCCCAATAACTTCTAGGGTACCATTGAAGCTCAGACAGACTCGTTACAATTTCGACCAGCAGAGCACTTGAACCAAATAAAATCTCTACCTGTATTAACCACAAAGAGGAGCTTATGAGGTGTATCTAATCATGAAATCAACAGATTACTGTTTGAAGCTCATGCACCTGCAATTAGACCTGTTTCCAGGCTTTGGGCCTAATTTTACATTGTTTCAGGCTTGGGCTTTGGGCTGAGCGCATTAAAATTTTGACAAAATCCAAACCCGAATTGGCCTAGGAACACGTTTACCTGCAATCACTGGATACCCTAACGAATATGCCTCCAGGACGAGGAAGAACTATAAAATGCTCTTGCATCTCTTTTAAGTAGTAGAATAAGCGTAATTACCTATTTTTCTTTTCTTTTGAAATTACGGCAAATCTTTCAAAGTTTTTCATCTCTGATAAACCCATAAGGTTCCATTTGGAAGTACAAATACAATTATAAATATAAATATAAATATAAATATGTAGTATAAAACTTTGTATTTTATATTAGTTTATATATATTCATACCATACATATTTTGTATATATACTCCTTCCTTCCAAACTGAGCGTCTGAACTTTGTTTGATTACAAAACCATGACAGTGCAAATGATTTGAATGTAAATACTGACCTGTTTCAAATTTTACCTTATTTTGTTTGATTAAATTAAGACATGAATCAGAATAAAATAAAATCCAAAACAAAATTAAACAAAAAATTGCATTTCTTACATTAACCAAACATATAGACTAAGGTTCAAAATTTCATCACTTACTGAAATATATAAGGCATATATCGACCCCACCCCGATGTGATAAATATTAGCTATTTTCACGGGATACGCCTTGCTAGAAACTGAAGAAAAAAAGTGTGGGTCAAACGCCCAGATACGTAATCGATACTTTGAACCATTGAAGAATGAGAAGCTGCTAAGAACGCCAAAAATGAAATCTTTCCAATACCAGTGCTCGACAACTCCTTATATTTTAAGAGCTCACAATGAAACAGACAACTCCCCCTACTCCCATGCCGTTTTTGCGATGAAGACCATTTAATAAATATTAGCTTTTATCTCCTTTAAGGCTAAATAACCCTAGTCTTTATGTTTCCTTCTTTCATCTTCGCTCAAGTGCTGGCGATCATCCAATGGGCTCTCAATCCCCCAGTCTTGTATCTCGATTCTTGCTTTTTCTTGTGTAGATGGTGGCTTCCTGTGCTCTTTCTTCTCCTAGACAATGATTTCAAGAATCCCAAATAAAAAACTGATTGAAAGCTAATCACCGTTTATAAAACATGAAAGAAACCAAATATCTCCAATGAGGGTAAACTACCTTGCTAAGAATTCCTTCGTGATCCTCGGGTTGAGTGCTTTTGGTTCTTGGAGAAAGATACTTTCGAGATTCAGTGAATAATTGGAAGCCCTTTATGTCCGCATTTCTGATGCTTGCTTCCAGCTGCCATGGATAAGTTCCAGAAAATTCACGTGTATGTTTACGTACAAACACATACCTCTTTTTGGTGTTGGTAGAGCTCGGGGACTCTTGACCGGAAATAAAACAGCTTACCTGAACATGAATGATGCAGAAGATAATGCCAGCAATAGGCAGCCAGCTCTCCTCGGGTGACAACGACAAATTTGTCCTATTAAATCACAAACGAAGATATGAGCATAAATAGATGTCTCAACAGAAGTATATACCGATGCATATGCATGTATTATATTATATTACATATAATACAAAATACTTTATATAGTTGTATATTATATGAGCATGTATTATATGACACATACAATAATACAAAATACTTTATAAATTTTTATATTATATAAATAAAATTTTATATGTATTACTCCCATGATCACTCCTATATGTATTACTCACATGTGTCACATAGTTGTATATTGTCATCCATGATGTATGAATATCTTTTTAAAAGAATTTTAGTGGCAAGACTTCCGGGTTCACAAGATTGTACCCAGATGTGTTATCTGTTCTTTGCTTTATTGTGGTTAATTGGAAAGGTAGAAATGATCTTATTTTCAACGAAGTGAACTCTCATCCAACTGATATGGTTGATCATGTTTCCAGGCTAGCTATGGAGATGATCTCTGTCCCCTGCCATGGAGCCAAGTCCAATCCAAATTGATCTGGGTCAGGTTCCACGGGCTACCCACGCAAGTTGTCCCCTCTCTTTTCAGAAGCTTAAGCCGTGCTTAAAAGCATGAAGACAGCTTCGTCTTTGGGGCTCAAAAGCATTGCAATTGAGTCGGATTGTGTCGAACTGGTGAACATTCTGAAAGGAAAATCTCTTCCTGCGGAAGAAATCTGGTTCCTTTATCAAGATATCAAAAGTGTATCCAAGCTTTTTGATCAAGTGTTATTTTCTCACATTCCGCAGGCTTAACTCCTATGCACACTTCCTTGCCAGTGAGAGATGTACCCCTGGTTCATGGTTTTCCTTGCCAAAATGAGCATGCTCTGTTTGTAGTAATTGGTGTTTGTATCCGAACTCAATAGGCCATGGGCCTGTGCTTTCAATGAATTAATTCGTGTTTACCAAAAGAAAAAAGTCGGTCTTTTGTCAAATTACAGCTTAAAAGTATAGCTGTCAATTATAATTGGGTCTTATGAGGTCAGACCTGATAATCTCGATTGCAGACCCTATAGGGTCTGGTTCAGAAATGGTTCTGCGCAGTTAGTTGGGTCTGGGTCTATCTATTGACAGCAATACCATTAATCCTCATCGGATGAGTTTCAATATTATTTGCATTGAAAAAAGACTTCGAAGTTGTTTGGTTACTTGAGAGACGGTTTGGATCAAAATCAATTGAATATTCATCTAATGAGAGTTGAAAGGAATTCTTTGTTATGCTTGTCAAGGGTAATCTCTTGAGTTTCCAAATGAAAAGGGAGAGAAAACCACAAGAATCAGCATTAGCAATTTTCTTTTTGATAGATGAATCGGCATAAGCAAATTTTTCCTAGGTCCACCTCTTGGGCCCTCAACAAAAGGGAGACTATGAAATTTAAGCAGAGAGAGAAACCCTGAGTTCAATAAAAAGAACAATCCCATTGACAGCAACAGACCAAGTAAATCTTGGGCCCTTAATAAAATCAGGAATATGAAACTTAAGTGGAGAGAGAACGTTAGACTTAAGTTTAAGAAAAATAACCAATTCTGTTGTCAGCAACAGATCAGGTAAAATCGGAAGTCTAGGAATAAAGAGGAGCTTTTAAAAGAAGTTAGAAGGGAAGTAGTAACAAATGAATTCAGAGGAGATTATTTTTTTATTTTTATTTTTTCAGGAAAAACCTGCCCCTATTTTCTTAAACTTTAACAGTTTCCTAAAGGTCATTTTTATCCATGAGTACCAGAACGTTAGATTACCTATTGCATGCTGCGTGTGTGACTGTGTATATAGGTGTATATGCATTGTATCCATAATGTAAAAAACTATAGTTATATTACTTATATACCCTGAGGTTTGAGTAAACTACTTAATACTTATACATACCCTGTAGATTCAAAACCTACTTATATATACCTTGTTGACCTTTCAAACGTTAAGTCTAAGTGTCTAAAAGATAAAACTAAGGACCAAAGTATATAAGTAATTTTGAAACTACAGGGTATATATACGTAGTTTCATTAAACATCAGGGTATATAAGTAATTATCCCTTATATTAATATGACCTCTGTTAAACTAGAAAACAGACTTGGCAGTTGGCAGGACAGCATGTTAGTTTGGAAGAGCATTTCAGTTTGCTTGAGAAACTCTGAAAAGGGCTGGGGAAGATCAAAGCTCTAATGAAAATGCTAAGCTTCTTGTGAGCAATTGGAGTCCAAGCAATGTCAGTAGAAGGAAATCCCTAACCATCTGGAATGTGAAGAACAAACTGAATCAACACAGCATTTAGTGTCTTCATGTCTATTTGCAAGAGCAGTTTGGTTTTGGCTCATTAGTTGCCGTGACATCCACCACCATGACATCTGGATCTTTTCGAATTTCGACCTCTTGGTTTGATAAAAATAAAAGTGGCTTTCCACAAACAGACAAACTTGAATACGTCTCTGTCAACCATGATTTCCTTTGATAGAAATTTATAAAGGATGGAACCACTTAGTGTTGAATGCATAAAGTTGTCCCCAATAAATCACCAGAAGGGCTAACAGATTTTAGTAGGTCATTCACTTGGGTTGATGACTGATGAGGCAAGCTTTCTCCAGCATCCTCCATCGGCCCTAAGGACGGACCGATGGATCTACCTCTCACGGCATTTTTAGGCTTAACCTTGAAACGGCAAAATGCCCTAATATAGATTCAACAATGAAGTCTTCTAGAGTGATTACACGGGTAGGAGTCAAGGAATTAAACAGGCAACTTCTATGAGAAATGCATGCAATGTGAAACTATCCAATTCTATACAGCCACAAACGATCAGACTTGAAGTTAATGCACTAAAGATGGGATAAACAGCTCACTATCACGGCAGGATTTATTGTGAGAGTAACACTAAGAAAAATTAGTGTTGAGAGAAGCAATGAACAACTTGAAACATGTGAACTGTAAAAGAAGAAAAACTCGAACCTCAGGTAGGGGGCCAGATAAACGAGGGAATACACGACGTAGCGCCGACTGCCAGTATCCATCCACGCGAAAACCCAACTCTGCCGAAGGGAAGAGTTTCAAAAGAGAATCAAAGAGATGCAAATTGAAGAATGCATTTTAGGGTTAAAAACTTCGAAAGGAAAAGGAACTGAATCACAGACCAGCCAATTGAAATAAGGAATGAAGCTTATGATCCCCATGACTGCAAACCTCGCATCAGTGGAATCGATAGCAGAGCTGCTATCGTCGTCCGGACCATTAGCGATTGGGAAAGCCAGTGAGTTGAGGATGCAAGCTCCGATTGCAATGGCGAAAGGTGCGTCCTGGGAAAACTCCGCTCTGCATTTCAAACTTCTGAACCTCCCCTGCATCGACAACAAAACTAGGGTTTTGAGAATTTAAAACAGAGAAACAGAAAGAGAAAGAGAAAGAGAGAGGGAGAGGGAGAGGGAGAGAGAAGAGGTCTTAACCTTACCTGGTTCGTCCTCTTCTTAAAATCTAGAGGCCTAACATTCGATAACGGAGATGGGAAGCGACGAAGTCGAAGAAGCGGGGGCTTGCTCGAAAGCAAGGCCAGGGCAGTAGAGGGTGAGGTAAGACTGATACCCAGACCGACGCAAATCATGGTTCTAAGAGAGGAGCTAAGTTGGAGACATCTCAACTTTCAAGCTCAAGTCTCAACTTCAACGCGTTGAGAGAGAGAGAGACCGGCTAATGTTCATTTCGTTCTTACAGATCGACTGTATAGGACACAACCTTTTACTCTGTACTGTTTAAAATTGCATCTTAACCACACATTTAGATCATTATGCAACAGAGCACAGAGGACAGATGATCCAGTGGTACATGATGCGGTTGTAAATAGTACAAAGGAAATCTTGAAACGTGTTAGTATTGCTGAATGCTCAATAAAATAAACAATTTGATTTCCACTGTTGCCATCCCCGAAGAAGACATCGGCACAAACCAGTCTGAATGAGACTCTCACCTCACGTCTCAAGACTCTCAATGATAATAATGACGGGTTGCAGGTTCCAACAAGAAGTGAATACTTTGATCTGCAAAAGGTTTTAGCGAATGATATCACATCAGCGCCCTATATGCACATTTGCGCCCTGTGCGACGCCGATGTGAACTCTTAAGGTCAGTTTGGAACGAGTACAAATGCAGCGTAAATACATACAAAATAATATAAAATATAAGGTTTTGCAATCAATATATTTGAATTTATATTTTCAATTATCAAATGGTAATCAGCTTTGAGTCAGGATCGCCTGTCAATAAAATAAGTTCCAACACCCTACCCACAACATCTGACACTGTACATCTCATACATGGCGGATCTCATTTGGTGGGCCTCAAAATGTGCCGTGTCAGATGTTGTTGGAACTTGTTTTGTTTGCAGGTGATTCCAATTCGGATAAAAGATTCGGACTGGGATTGAATTATGGAGGCAAGTGGTTTAAGCAATCAAGTTTTGCTGCTTGCAAAATTGTATAACTCGCTATTTAATCGATCACAACTAGTGGTGTAAATCGGGCCCGGCACGGCCCAGTTCGCAGCCCGGTTCAGTATGGCCTGCGGTATGGTTTATATATTATTTATATATATATTTTTATATATCTATATAATAATATATTAATAAAATAAATAATATTTTAATTTTATTATATTAATTTATTTAATTATTGTATACACAAAATTCATATAAAATTAAAATTTTAAGTTTTTTGTCATTTTTCTAAATAAATAGCTTTGGCCCGATGCATGGCCCACGATACGGGCCCATACGGGCCTGGGCCCTGGGCCATGTCGAACTGACCCCGAAATTTTTCATTGGGGAGGGCAACACGACTCGTAACAACACACGGGCCAGTACGTGCCATCCCGCACTTTGCGCGGGCCGTGCCGTGCTAGCTCGACACAACCCACTTTACACCTGCATCGTGCTGTGCCGGGCCGACACAACCCACTTTACACCTCTAATAACAAGTGAGTACACTAGTTACTTGGTGTGATTCCCATGTGTATGAAGCACTAGCATATTCATTTGTAATTGAATATGTAGCCCATTATAAGTGAGTACTGAGTAGGGGTGATCATTTCAGCCTGGCCCAGAAATTCTAGGCTTGGGCTTAAGTTTTGTGTTCAGGCCCGGCCTGGGCCTAGGCCCACAAATTTTAGGGCCGGGCTTGGTCTTAATATTTTAAGCTCGGCCTGCATGTATTTAAACTTACACATTTTGTGTATAATGTATACATATTATTTTACATTAGATTACATATTTTATATATAAATATTATAACATGACATGTATAATTTATATTATATGTAATATTTTATATTATATAATGTATAAAATAAGTTTATATGCATGTTATGTCATTTAATATATAGATATATAATATTTTATATTATATAATGTATAAAATAAGTTTATATGCATGTTATGTCATTTAATATAAAATATTATGGATATATGTGTTATATATGGAAGACATTGGCCCAAAATCAGGCCTGGCCTAGGCCCATGTAGACCTGGGCTAGGGCTTATGTTTCAGGCCTAGAACCCCGGGCCGGGCTGGGGCCAGGCATAAGCTATAGCCCTTATTATAAGTGCAAAGCCCAGTCCGGCGCGGCCCATAATCACCCCTAGTATCTGGAGTTGGTTTAGATAAGGATGAAAGAGTTCCATATGTAGAAAGGATAATATGAACTCCTTTTGGTCCAATGTACATTCTTATTTCGTTAGACAAGGTTGCATAACATTAGGGATGCAAATGGATCGGTTTGGATTCGAACCAAATTATATCCAACTCCAATTTGATACTATAAATCATAAATCTGATTTGATCGGATCTCATAAACATTGATCCAAATTTGACTCAATTAAGGATGCTATATATCCAATCTGATTTAATTTTAAAAAATTCAATAAGTTATTAAAAGGAAAATAAAATATAATAGTTTATATAAAAATACAAGTGTTTTTTCAACTATTTTCATCATATATATATATGTGTTTTTTTTTCTAGAAATGAATAATATAAAAATGTACAAAAATTCAATGTAAACATATTTATAAATAAATAAATAACATATATAAATATATATTATAAAATGTGAATTTGATTTAACTATTAATTGGTTCCTTATCTGATCCGAAAATCCAAAAAAAAAAAATCTGAATATGACAAAACAGGATTGGATTCTAGATCAGATCAAATCATGATCCGATCCATTTGCGCTCCTAGATAACATTAGGAGTGATAATTCTTAGTCGGGCCCGGATCTATATCGACACAAAAATTATGAACCAGGACTGAGTCCAATACTTTCAATCCGGCACAGCCCAGCCTGAAAACTATATCTGCATACAATTAGTTTTAGGCAATTTTGAAAGATGTGGGTAGGGTAAGAGGTTTGACCTATCCAGTTTTTTATTTAGCAAATAATAATTCCAAAAGCCTGGCTTGGACCGGTCAAAGATTACCCCTTATTGAAGACCCTGCAATTCACTACAGTTGCATTTTCGAAGGTTTGCACAGTGGTGTTACTTTTACCCTGATCCAATTTCCTGAACCATCAATCCTACTGGATCAACCCCAACTCAATCTTTAATCCGCATTCCACCCTAACCCAACCCAATTAAAAGATCGGTTAGGTCCAAACTCAGAAACCATAATTACACACAAGGAATGAAACTTTGGTGGGCCCAACCTTAATATGAACCAATTCAACCCACAATTTTACACAGATTAAGGATGTTCAAATTCAATTGATAAATCAAAAATCGAACTGGACCAAATCGAATAAATTATTAATATTGTTATTTAGGTGGCGTTTGACAAGTCTTTATAATAGTCTTTCAAGCTTTTCAAAGCTTAGAAGACCTGAGTGCTTCATTTGAAGCTTTAGGTCTTTTTGAGCATATGAATCTTTTCGTTTGAGGAAGGGCATTCGAAAAACCCTCGTTTCCTCTGTGTTTTGGCTAAACGAATCTGGACCAGGTATTGAGTCCTTCTTCTTCGTTCTTCCTTTTTCTTCCTTCAGTTTTCTCTTTCTTCTTCGATCCAAATCTCCACTCGTACCTTGATTCCGTTCAGATCTGATTTCTCACTTTCTCTGTCCGAAGTCAAGAAATCTGATTCAAAACCAGGTATGATCTCCATCATTTGATAGTGATATGATATCCTAATTTGCTTGTGGAACAATTTTTAGTTTGCTTCTTATTTTTAGTTGAATTTTATCAAAATGATCTTCCGATTACCACGTTAGTTAACAACTATTGTTAGATACCCTTTAGGGTTGTCGAGTAGTACAATATTTAGAATGACAGAATGAATCTTCATCTTGAAATTCCATTTTAAACTTATTTCCACCGTCCAAAACCATGCTTCTCTTTAAAATTCAAGCTTTAAAATTTTGGTGAAACTTGTTTCCACCGTATCAGACTAGCTCACAGGACTTGTTTCCACCGTATCAGACTAGCTCACAGAACTTGTTTCCACTTTTTCCAAATGAATCAACATGCAGCTCGGACCAATCCAAATTGATATCTGGAACCTTTTAATTTATTTGCATTATAATATTGAACCCGGTGTATGTCATTTTGAACGTTGCATTAAATGTTTTTCTATTCTACTTGAGTATGTAAACTTTTCTTGGATTTAAACAACTTCTGGACTGGTATCCATAATAAGAGTTTGCATAGCCTATTTTGAAATGGAATCCATGAAGTTGGAGCAAAGAATAACCACTTTTACCTATTATCTCATGGGATTCAAATATTATGTTCATCTTTGATATATAGGATTTAATTGTTAAAATTTTGGTGGTTTGAAACTCCAAGAGTTTTTGGTTTCCTTTAAAGGCTTAAATTTGTTTCTATTTATCTATTTACCTATTTACCTATTAGTTTTGGCTAATAGTTAATTCCATGTCTTAATTATTGAGTCCATAATGAAACTAATAATCTGTCTAAGAGATTGTAACTATATCTAGGCTTAATACTCATCATTCTTTAAATCGGTGAACCTATGGATGTGATAAACTAGAGGCTTCCTATGCAGACAAACAACCTTTTAAAATGAGATATTGTAAGTATGTTTAGCTAGAAGAGAGATAATGAAAGTGATAAATCCTTTATATGCTTTTCTCTTATAATTTATAATTGGTGCTTTGTGCATTTTGAAAACTTAAAAACTTGCAGCCTTAACTATGGATTGTGATAAACCATGCAAGTTTATACAAAAGGAGAAGAAAGGAAAGGAATGCTCTTGAAGTGTGTGTGTGTGTTCAAATCTGAAAATTTTCATGTAATTTCCTCATGAATTTGGTACTATGAATTACTTTTTTCAGACCTAAAATATCCTGTTTTGCTCTATAACATGGTCTGTGTCTTGCTTTATTCGCATTTAAGAAATATTACTATTAATTACCTTTCATATCTAAAATTTCTCATGTGATTCCATAAAGAATTTGCTACTACGAGTTAAATTTCCAGACCTGAAATCTACCATTTTGCTTTGTTATGGCCTGAACCTTCTTTTTGTGCATATGATATACTACTATTTATGATTCTCCTATGATATATGTAACATCTTCTTCTACAAAATCTATTGCTTTGTAAAACTATGGTAGTACAAATGATTTGGGTGAAAATTCTGAATTATTTTTGTTTAATTCAAATTTTAGCTTATTTTGTTTTATTGCAGTACAAATGAAATAAAGTAAGACCCAAAGCAATTTGCCATCAGTCATCACCCTTCCATTCTGCAATCATTAGCTGCAATGTGAAGAAACCAAAACAAAACATTCATCATTCTTGGTGGCTATGAAATGATTATGGGGCCTCTTGGGCAGTGTTGATTCAATCTACGGATCGTGTTCCAGATTCAACATTGATCATCTGTACTTGGCTGCCAACACTTATGGTTTTAATTGAATAACCATTTTATTCAATTTGCGTGTTTTTCTCCACCTCAGAAAATTTTATGAGTATGTACGGTTAGGAACAAGGACAAGTGGGGAGAATCTATCACAATTCAATGGGGGGTTTGGGACAATACATTCAAAAAACCAATAAATTTTCTGAAGGGGAACAAACCATAAATTTCCTTTTTTTTGTAATAACATGTATTGGATTGTTTGTATTGAATTAATTGTTAAAATAAGTATTCATATTAAACTAATTTCTTGTATTGAAATAATTACTTATTATGTGATGTATTATATCAGGCCCACATTGATTTTTTGTATAGGTGAATGTGTGAGTGGGCCACATAGGTGATGATCACATATGTCAATGCATAGATGGGGACTACATTGATATCTTGTATAGGAAAATGTATGAGTGAGGCCCTTTAATATTTTGCATAGGTAAATATGTAAGTGGGACCCATAAGTACTATTTGTATGTTTGAATGTTAGTTCCACACATGACATTTGGCATGCATGTAAGAGGGACTCACAAGTATGTTTATCAAACTGTCTTTCGATCTTTTTAGCTTTTGAGATCTTTGGAAAAATCTACAACCAAACGGTTTTTGGTCTTTAAAGATCTATTTGCGAAAGTTCATAGGTCTTTTGAGGTCTTGTGTTTTTGAAAGATCTTTTAAAAAAGACTTGCCAAATGGCTCCTTAGTTAAGTATATTAAACATTAATGCTTTATTTAATACTTTATGCTAATTAGTTATTATATTTCCCAAATCTATACTCATTATTAATTGTTTGTTAGTCATTAATTGTTCATTAAACATTAATTATTTTTGAAAATGGCCAATTCACCAATATGCCAATTCCCCATTGGCATAGGGCTTTGGGCCTATTTTATCTTTTAATTAATAATGGATAATTAATTAAAACCGTTGGGCTTTGGGGTCATTTTAAATTTTAATTAATAATAGTTAATTAATTAAAACCATTGGGTTTTGGGGCCATTTTAACTTTTCATTAATAATACTTATTAAATGCTTGTCATTTATGTGGAACCAAGGTCCAACTGAACCGAAAATTGAACCAAAGTCGGTTAGGGTCGTTTCGGTTCTAAAATATGATTTGGTTAGAGGAAATGGTAAAACCAAATGATCAATTAGGTCCTTGATTTGAACTGAATTGACTGATTATACACCCTTACTCATTAGCAGTGGCAATTGGGCGGTTTCGGGTGAGCTTCAACCCAACCCATCTAACATGCTAATCCATTAATGACCCAATTATATAAAATTAAATGGGTTAGGTTCAACCCAAATCCACCTTGATTTGAACTGAATTGACCGATTATACACCCTTACTCATTAGCAGTGGTAATTGGGTGGTTTGGGGTGAGTTTCAACCCAACCCATCTAACGTGTTAATCCATTAATGACCCATTTATATAAAATTAAATGGGTTAGGTTCAACCCAAATCCACCTTGGTCCAATCCAGCCCGCCCAACCCATTAATCTTATATTTATATGTACTTAAAACTAAAAACTAACTCCCTTTTGACAAATAAATTGGTCATAGCTTGGTGGTAATAGTAATTGTTATATACACAATTGGTAAAAGTTTAAATCACATTACATGCATATTGTTTTTATAAAGAGAATAAAAGGCAATTAATCACTTGAAGCCATTTGATTATGTTCGGGTTTGACCAAACCACTTAGGTTCAAACTGGTCAAACCGATTTGAACTATCTAACCGGATTTATCTTCGAGCTAATCACATCAAGAGCGGTTGAGGTTGAACCATTTGGATTTGGATCAATTCGGTCAGACTAGACCAAACTGGTTTAGGCAAATGGCAAATTGACTTGAACTGATCCATATCAGGATTGTGCACGGATTTGGGGACGATTCAACCAATCCAAACTGGTCAAAGTGAGTGGGCCACGTAATTCAGGTTGAGACGGGTTGGGTTGTCCTAAACTGATCTGAATCTGGGTTGGTTCAGATTGTTTCATTCTGACCGATCCAAACGGATCAACCCAAGGTGAGCGGGTTTGTTCATATTTGAACCAGGCTAATCTGATCAGGATTCGGGTTGTGTTGATTTCAGCCCATTTCCAACCCACCAAGTAAATGGGCAGGTTGGGTGAGAAATTGCCACACCTAGTCCTTGTATTGGAAGGATCAAAACCCGACTTTTTATATTTTTCAAGCTGGGCCCAAACTAGCCCTTAGCACATAACCCCTTCTGTACAAATATACAGATAAATTCGTACATGCATATATGGAAAATCTACAAGGCTTAGTTTGGAAAGAGTACAAATATGTAGAGTGCTAAATATTGTATTTTTGTATTATTAAGGTACAAATAAGTCCCCCACAAGACTGCGCCCCACAACATTCCACAGTACATCTCCGTGTGTATTGGGAGCATCTCCCAATGATGATATCATCATTTCTGGTATTATCATCAGGAGATGTTACCAACACATGGTGGGGATGTGCTGTAAGACGTTGTGAGGCGCATTCTTGTGGGGGACTTATTTGATCTCGTATTTAGACTGCACAATTTTGTATTTGTACTCCTTCCAAACTGAGCCAAAATTTCCTACTTAAAAAGTTTAAACAATTGATACAAAGTAGATTCACGTAACATTGCAATTTTTTAATACATTGGGACTTACAGACCCGCCTAAGCCTGAATGACTCGTATGAACCTGGTCGAGGCCTGGGCCCAGACCGAGCATGTCAAATTTCAGTTCAGGCTGGGCCAAGGCTGGACAGATAGTGCTCAACCTCGGCCTAAGACTCGGGTCCTGAGCCCGATGCTTAGGATTGGGCCAGGACAGATAGAGCTCATCCTCCCCAAATTGCACATCCATTACACGCACGCTAGATATATTTTAAACTCATGTTCTATAGGTAGATGATCACCTCGCCAAATACGTCAACCCCAATGCCTGAGCAATCCAACCTCTCTGGCTTGGCCCCTAAGAACCGAAATTGACTAACAAAAACCAATATGATAACTGGGGGTCCAAGGCTCTGGTTTCCAGAACAATCACTTGCGTCAGAAATACAGATTTTCAACTTAGATGATTAAAGAGAAAAATAAGCAAATTAAAAAGGGGGACCAGGGCCAAAAAACCTAATATTGACATATTCAAGATCACGACAATTGCAATCTCCACAAAATACACTATCATTCCTGCCACCACCACCACCACCACCACCACCATCACAACTGCGGATTCTTCAGTGGCGATTTATTCAAAATAATTGGCCAATTAGTGAAACAAATGGCACTCGCGGCTAAAGGAAGGGCTCATTTCTCCATTTGAATGAATGAAAAGCAATGCACATTTTCTGAAGGATCTGATTTTCCTTATTTTTCATCTGAGGCCGTGAATCCTTAAAAGGACTTCCTCTGATAAATGGTTGGGAAGCATGATATGATAAACCATGATGCCTGCATCTGCTTCTTAAAAGTGCTGCTAAGAAGCAAATAGGTAGCTGCTTAGCAGAAAGAAGAATGTCAATATTAACAAGTGATTATCCATTAGAAGACCCAGTAGTACCTGAATCTACATGGTGCTTGCTCTTTTCTACAGTTTCAGGCTTCAGTTTTTCAGGAGTCCTTTTCGCCCCTTCTGCTTCTATCTTCTTCCCGACCATATGCAGCATTTAACTGCTGTTGTAACTGTAAATGACAGATTAATCCATGTGTGAAACCAAACATCTTACTACAATGAAATTCTTCTTGTGATAATTAAACGAGTCATCCAAGGCACTAGTTCACTCTCCTAGTACATGTGGAGAATATACAGTGGCTATGGCCCCACAAATCACCAGGTTCAATCATAGTATTCAAGACGCTAAGGCGAGCTAGGCAACAGGGGGGTGCCTTGTTGCCTAGTCACCTAGGCGATGGACTTTTTAAAGTAAAAATCACATATCCTAGGGTAGTTCCTTAGGTTCCATAACCAACTTTCTTTAATAGCTATCCATAATTTTCATAAGAAAATTATAAACTTCATGTTTAAGTCTAGAAAATMAACATAYTHATGAGAAGAAMAAGAAGAAAGGAAAGAAAATTCAAAAAATATAGGGGCTGAACCCCTATTTTTGTTATAGGAAAAGAAGAAAAGAAAAGGTGGCAGTGTTTGAAGTCATTGANAATGTTTGTGTTGATTAAACCCTAACAAATAAGAAAATAATAAAAAGAAATTAGTTTATAAACACAAAAAATGAATATTTTTCTTTAATAATGTCTATTTTATAATTATAATCTAAAAAAAAACAATATAAAAGTATTTTATTACACTGTGCAAAACTGCTTGGTGACTGGGCGAGGCGAGCCTCCAAGGGCACCTTGTCACCTAGGCGCCCGCCCAGGCATCACCTTGACAACTATGGGTTCAATATAACTATGAGTTGGATTTCTAAAACCAATCTAAATCCAACTCAAGGAACCTAAGGTGCAAAATTTTACCTCATCCAACCTGCAAATTAATTCTCCAGCACTCAACTAAAGATCAGCTGAATGTAATTTACTTAACGTAGTTATTGATAAAAAAAAAATTACTTAACACAGTTGAGCCTCATATCTATCTTGGGAACTAGGAGCAAGGGGAGGTAATGATTTATAGGCATTATGTGAATAAAGCTTTATATGCTTTCATACCTTGTGTTGCTTCTAGCATTGGTGACTGAACTACACATTTATAGTAGACCTTAGAAAGACATGCTTACAGCATGCATAAGAAATAGTCAGGTCAGTTATGTGCCCTTAAATCATTTCTCACTACTTCAACACATGTCCTTTTTGGTCTTCCCCTACTTCTAGATCCTTCAACTTGTAACACTTTTTCTCACTGGTGCTACAGTCTTCAAGATAAACTACAGAAACTGGTTTTATAAAATATCGGGATAGTTTCTTACTAAAAATGTAAATCGCCTAGATGAAAATGATCATTGATGATTTACCTGCATGTGTTTCAACTTTGCAGCAGTCAGCTCATCAGTCAGATTAATCATCCTACACAGAATAATTAAGTAATAAGATAGATAGATAGATAGAGAAAGATAATAATATATATATATATATAGAGAGAGAGAGAGAGAGGCTAATAATGCCTGACCTAGTCTGCAGTTCTGAAATTTTGGTAAGTAATAACCGCTCCCTTTCAGAAGCAGCTGTTTCCACCTGTCGAAACAGCAGCCATAGACTTAATAAAAGAACACAGTCAGCAACTGTTCTAGTGTGGAACAGAAACTGTGCAACGTTGTCAGCTATGACTGTCTAAATTTAAGTTACTTACCTCTCTTTCTTTGGGGTGTTGGGTATTTGTATTTCATCCTTAAATTATGCAATAAAATTACTTGTTAACTATCAAAAGAATTGCGGGTTTGTAAAAAAAATAATTTCTTGAATAATGAAGCATCAAGGAGAACCAGGTGACAGGTGATGGGTTCTAGTTGATTTGGGGCTTCTGTTATTTCTTTTTTCTTATTTTGAATAAATTACCTTAAAAAATATATACAAGAGGGAAACAAAGAGCATTCTGAAGATAGAGAAATCAAATTGGAAGAAAAGAAGTACAAAAATTCCATTTTCAGTTCATCCCATGGAAAAGCATTAAAACTACTCTACATGAAAGAATGAGTGGTAGAAGCAGTACCATCACCATTCCACAGTAATTGGGAATTAGACACAAAAAATGTGTATTATTCTCCCTTGGTGTGTGTTTTTAGTGAGGAGACACATGTACAGCATGTGGAACCCTAGAACAACAAATCAGCAGTAGTCTTTTCCACAATAAAGGGGTATGCAGAGTCAAGTTTGATCTCTGGGATCCAGTTGACCAATGGATCAGGTCATTTGGAACCCAATCTTATGGTGCCTTGAGAAGCATGTTCACAATCATGCCACCTTACAAGGTGCATTTTCACTTCAAGACTCATTCGCATGCTTCCTTGGTCCAACATTAGTTGGTGAGATGTGGTCACTTTTGAGCAAAGGAGAAAAGAAAGTCTATAAATACAGGAAGGGAAAAAGAGAGAGAGATGAGGAATAAAATGGCTGCCTGTCCTTTCTCTTGAACTAATCCAATAAGAGTTTACCACCTCTGGTCTCCTCTCCCCAAAGCTCTCTACTCTGTCACTGTCATAATGTAGCATCTTTCAATGGACTAGTCATCTAGTGACATTGATCAGGTTGAAAGTTCTAAAAGTCCCATCCAAAAAGGTTTTATCTTATCATCTTATTTAAGAACTAAAGCCAAATCATGTAAATCTTATCATCTTTTGGATGGAGATTATCCCTTCATCCAAGAACCAAGCCAAGCTTTACTGTTTACATTTGAAATGTTGCTTTGCCATTTTGTTATGATTCAGTTGCCAATTAACTTCATCCAATATTTTCCGCTGGCCAAATTAATGAGAATTAGACTAAGCACTTCTATTAGAACCAAAGCAAGCCAATTCAAACTTGTCAAATAACATGAGACAGCCCCTTCCAGCACATTGGGCCCATTTCAACATTGCAGATGAAGGCATCAAAATATACTCACATTTGCATCATTATCCAAATTGCGAGGTAGTGGGGGCATCTTCCCAGTTTGAAAAGCTGAAACATAATTGAAGCACTTTAATGGAACTTGTCAAACACTTCTAATTTCTACCTTAGAATAATACAACTGACCACATACAGAGGCAGATTTGTTTTACTTACCATCTACTACCTCAGCTTGTTGCAAGCTATTCAGAAGATTCATAATAAGATCCTGGCAAATTAACAAAATAATATTGAAAAGGAAGATCAGCATTATGGAAAGGCAAAGTTTTTTTGAAGAAATTAAATTGTCTACCAAAAAAAAAACCCTCAAAGCTATCATGTAGAAAATCAAATAATTTTTTTTTTTCTTTTACCTGTTGGAATGAGGTCTGCTGGAAAAGATTCTGAAGATAAGGCATGAGAACTGATGCAGGTACAGTACTGTTGGTTACTTCTTTAGGTGATGAATTGACAGGCTGACAAAACAGGAAAAAATCAATATTAATAAGATTGAACAAAGGTTAAGGTTCTAAGACACAAAAAAATTCCAAATGCAATACGTTTTGGTAAAATTGATTATTGTTAAAGATTTCAAATATCCACATTCAATAACATATAATCAATATTCTCTTTACAGTAGACACACATGTTCATGACTGCATTTTTTTTTCATTTTTGTTAATAAGTACTGTACATTTTTCATGGTTGATGGATTAGTTTCTTTTTGTTCAACCTTCTATTTTTCCATGTTTACAGTGGGAAAATCAGAAAAAAACGTTTCCTGTGAGGAAAAGCCTGACCCAAACAAACTCTTCAAGGAAACAATCATACACCACTAAAATACACGTTCAGACATAGAAGGGTTACAAAGCATAAGCCACACCGAGAAGATAACTTCACAGAACAACTAGTTTAAGAACAGTGGTAACCAACTTTTAACCATAGCATAGGTTTTCTCAACCAATAAAACACCATCTTAATCAAAGCCTTAATAAGATTGATAAACAAGAAATGGTGCAGGTACACTAACCAACTTTTTAGCATCAGCTTGCCAGTCACCAACACTAGCAGACTTCCTCAGAGGTGATCCCTGGAAGCCACAAAATATGAAAAACAGAAATGTCGCTACAATTGAGAAAAAAAGTTTACAAAGATTGATCTACTCACCGGTGAAGTCCTTCTTGAAACAGTACATAATGGAATATCCTACATGCATATTTTAATTCAGTGGCAGTAATTTAATATAGGGAAAAGACATCATAAGAATGATGGATACCTTTACAAGGTCCAAATTTTCAGATGTTACTGAGAAGCGACCTTTTATTTGAACCACGTTTGCCTTTGGCTTCTCCTCAAAGGAATCCCTGAATCCTATAGGAGAGAAAAAGAATAAGTAGCAGAATATTTGCATAAGCTATATACTGCTGCATATTATGAAATAGCATGGAAATATATTAGCTTTTCCTGTGAAATCATCTAAAATATAGCACCTCCTGATGATCTTATAGGAGCTGACAAACTGTTTGCAGAAGCTCGGTTTGGAAGCATTAATGGACCACTAAAGCTGGGTGCTCTCCGTACTTCGTGCTTACCCTTCTCATTTGCTGGTTGACTCTCAATCTCACACCTGATAATAATGAATCTAGAAATCTCAGTTTTGTACAACCAAGAGAAAAAAAATCAGATAGTGTTATCAATGCATTAACTTGTGAATAACATGTTGACAAACTCGTAGTAGTTGGCCATACTGCAACTTTACATAATATGCTTATCCTCAACTGTCTAGTATCCATAGGTAGGGGCCCACTAATAATATTTGTAATTTGTGTGGACAGAAAAAGAAACAGTCCCACATATCTACCAAGTTGCAAGTTATGAGATTTTGGACCACTTGCTGCAATTGCTAAAGCTATATTGTTGGCCATATGCTGATTTGACTCTGGCGGCGAAAGATTTTTGTGCAAGGGGTGCCATCGCCATCCTATGGCTGATCAAAAAAAAAAAAAAAAGAAGGGGTGTCATCCTATGGATTTGCTACTATTTGCTCTATGTTGGGTTTGTATGGAAAGAGAGAAGCAGAGTTTTTGATAAAATCTCTTTAGTGGAAATCTTAATTGGGAAACCAGAGAGAATATTGGTTTGCTAAGTACTGACCCTTAAGGGGTTTTGTAGGCTTCAACCAGCCAAGATCACTTTTGGCAGTATTGAAAAGATTTCACTATCTCAATTCTCTTTTTGATGTGTAAAAGGGAGTTTACATGTAATAACCCAATAACCATGCAAATCCCCATAACTTGGGGCAGTTCATGGTTTAAAATGCCCCTAAATTTCCTAATATTTCCACAACATATTTTCATTTCCATGGGTAGCGACAGGAAACTCTACTGGAATCAACATATTCCCCAGTGAACACTACCAGCACAATGTGGAGTACATGAGATAGTTTCGACAACATATTTCCATTTCCATGGGTAGTGATACGAAATTTTACCGGAGTTGACATATTCCCCAGTGAACAATACTAGCACTATGTGGAATACAAGAGATAGTATTATAATATAAGTTGGTGAATATTGTAGATATGTAGAGTTGCAATGTTATTGCCCACCTATTAGAACGATTTGCATTTTTTATGAGTTTTTCTTTAACTCATTATATCATGTAGTTTTGAATCTTAAGGTTTACAGGACAACTTCAAAACACTTTTTTTTTGTTTATAACCTTAGTTTCTTATCTTTGTTTAATGATTTAGAACAAGATAACTATTTAAAAAGGTGTGCTTCTTTTATCATTTCACAAAATACCATTTTATATTTTTGCATATTTTACAATGTTTCCACAATGTCTATAATTTTTATAATATTTCTAACATTTTCGACATATTCCTATATTTGGACGATCAACCTTTCCATTGACACCGACATTTTAAATCTTGGGGCAGTTCTCCCCTCTTTTATAAAACAATACAATATATAAAATATAAGATAGTACTATTATGCCTTTATGTTGTTGCATAAATGTGTATGTGATAGGTACATAGTGAGAATATAGAAAACAAAACAAGATATAAAAATCAAAGAGGAAAAGTGGAAGAATTATTTTAGGTTTTCTTCCAATTTGTGTTCTTATTAGAGAAGTGACAACCATGAGAACCACATCAGACTGGGATAGCAGTTCTTTTAATTTTTCTTCCAATCTAAAGAACAAAAGGTGATAGCCCCACTCCTACGGTCCTACCCTTCCTTTCTTCATGCTGTTTATGTTTCCCAATTACTAATTAAGTGATAAGACCCAAAAATAATTCACTCCAATTCCTTTCTTCATGTTGGTATGAAGATTTTCTATATCCTCAGTTGAAAATTACACCTACAGTAATTCAGATAGTGCAAGAAAAGAAGAAAAGAGGGAAAGAGAAAGAAGAAGAAAGAAGTTTCAGCAATAGGTTGTGGAAGAAGAAAAGAAGGGAAGAGAGGAAAGAAGAATTCAAACCTCTCTCTCTAGCCCACTTTCATCACTTTTATTAATAATTCTAAGTCAAAGTACAACTACTTGGATGCCCTTAATGGGGTGGCCAGCACTAAAGAAACAATTAAAGAAAATAAAAGAAACATAACTTTTAAATACTACTTAAAAGAAATAAAAACACTAAGGCCCATTCGGCCCATTCTCACTACATCCTCCCTCTATTCCTAGAGTCAACCTCACTTGATAACAGAAGATGGCCCAAAGCAGTAAAAGAGAGAGGCACTCAATCACCTATTTTAACATACTGTCATTAGATTATAAGGTTATTAGTGCAATCAAAGTCCTTCACATATTTTGTGCACTCAATTACCTCTATTAAATATGTTTTTGTGCAGACAAAGTCCTTCATGTGCAAAAAAGAAAATCATGACTTTTTGCATATTTGACCATAGGTAAAGCTCAAGCCAGTCTAGATGCATATGTGACTCAAGAGGTAGGGATAAACCAGTGATCTGAAAAAATTAGTGAATTATCAAGCTTTCTATTAGTATCATAATTAGAACCTTATAATAACCGAACAGTCACAAGATTGGTGTCTATTTTACATACAGCTGGAGGCATATTCAAAGTAATCACCACTTGATCAGAAAAATAAAAGAAATGTGCATCATCAGTATCTAGTGGTCACTGGTCAGCAGGCTGTATAGCAGGATACATCAATTATTCATGTTGTAAAGAGGGTAATGGACCTAAAATTTTGGAAGCTAGATCAGATAAACCTAGCAATAAAAATGTCATAAAGATGATTCTAGACTAAAATATAGCTCTTTTAACTCCTCCAACTTCTCCTTTTTAGCCAAAGTGGGTATGCAAACCCTGGAGCAATAATATGAAGTGAATTGAAAGATTGAACTTGAATACATCATAGAATTCTATGTTATTCTGATAAATTGCTGTAACAGTGCTTCAAGCAGATGACAGAAATAATAATAGCAATCACAACAAACCTTTCAGAAGCACGACACCTTTCTGGTAGTGAATTATTAAGCACCATAGCAGGCATTAGTGGTCCACTCTGAGTTTGACGGCCTTTCCCTGTTTGACTTTTAGAATGAGAATTCACCATGTCCTTTTGAGAGGTCGATGCTAGTGGTTCACTGCTCGATTCTTCTATATTATTCCCTTCGGTTTTATGTTGATTGTTGGAGCCAAGCAAACCACTTTCTGAAACTTCTCTTGTGCCCAAGTATTGAGATTGTGATAATTCAGCACCTCTTATACTTCTACTGTAATAAAAATGTGCTAGGACGTGATTGATTTCATCATTATCATCATCACGATAGGTTCATTTGGCATAATTAAAAATCATACAAGATATTTAGGACTAACAAATTTAGGTCCAACAAGGCACACCTGCAATCATTGTCATTTGTAGAAATTGATTTTCCCAAACTAGATGCAGAAGCAGAGGTATCCTGCCAATAGTAACCAAGTCTATCAATACCTTATTTTATATAAAATTAAGTTAAGAAAGTAATGACAATAAAATGATGCTCATTATAGAAGCACAAAGAATATTTTTGAAATCTGAGGAAGCTATTAAATCATCTAACCTTATCATCAACAAACAACCTCATGCTTTCACATTCTTCCTTTATTCCTGGAACATCATCATCATCCTGAATCTACCGGAATGATAGGAGAAATCCATAAAAACAATTCAACCTGGGTATTCAGTTCAGTTTTTTTCTAATTATAGAATAGAATGGTACTTGGTAGTTGTGATGAGATAAATCTGCCATACCAGTGCTGCCTGGGCTTTCAAATCCTCAACATCAAAGTTCCATGCACTAACACCTCGTTTGTATTCACTCTGATAAAAAGAAAAATGAGAACACAAGGGCACATGCAGGTGAACATACAAACACAATAAAGAAAAAAGGTTGTAAGATTAAGCACTTCCAAATGCAACAGAATTTCTTAATTAATGGAAACATGATCAATTATTGCTATTTCCCCAAAAATATAGATCATGCAGTTTTAAAGTGCATAAAAATATTATCCAGGTACTTACTTTATTGTCATAACTAAAAAATTATTGAGTAGAGAAAAACCAAGGTAAATGTCCACAGCAGAAATGCAAGCACATAAATACTAGTACAGTGTGAAAAATGCAAACAGTTTATAACATAAATCAACAATAAATAAATAAATACTCATCAGAAGAGAGGTTGGATCAGCCTGTTGAGGTTTCAGTTATAAATCAAACCAAAGTTTTTGGACTGAGTGGACTAAAACCATCGAGTGACATTTCAAATGATCACTCGGAAGCTGAAAAAATGTTATATAGAGATGGGCATGTTTTCTCAAGACCCACAAGAGAGAGGCCTTCAGGCAATCAGTCAAATAGCCTTATTAGGCCCGAGGAGGGAGAGTAATGCGGAATTGCAGATATGGTAGCAAGGGAAGAAGCAATGGAGAATCAAGTTACTTTTCCAATTCCTATACCAATTTCAGAATTTTTGGGTTATAGGATATTGACACTGTTTCAGTTTTTTTATTTATTTTCTACTTGTGGGTGTCTTAACAATAGATTTTTATTTTTTAAAAAAATTCCTATTTATGGTTAGTTTTGGACTTGCTATTTAAAATAATTCTCATAATTAAAATTTTTAGTCAACTCATGGTTTACTATTTTTTGTAATTTCCAGTGTCTTTAAACTAAGTTAATTTAGTGAGATTAGTAAAGTGTTATTAGAGTTGTTTAGGAGTTGGAGTCCTTATTTAAGAGTCTTAATGGGTTAGCTATGGATTTGTCTTAGTTCTAAAGCAATTAGGAGTTGTGCTGGGTCAATTTCCGGGTCCAAATTAGAGTCTGAAAAGGGACATCCGAGTTAATAAATTGAGTCTATAAATAGAGTCATTGTAATTGGAGTTAAAGGAGAACGATTTGATGAATTCTGGCTGTTGCCAGAAGTTTTTCTCTGTCCCTCCTCTCTCTCATTTCTACTTTTGAGCAATCTTTCTCTTTGCTGTTTACCCTAACAGCAAGTGTTCTTCTCTTTTTTCTTATTTCTTTCTCATTTTTGGTTATGGAAAGCATTCTAATTGTTTCTTCATACATATCCTTCATCTCTAATCACCCACACCCCTCATTTACCCCCACAGAACCCACCCACCAGACCCTAAGTTGATAAGACCCCTTCCTGTCCATCAGTTTGGTAATAGAGCCAAACCTGAAGATGATAAGTCTCATATCAAGAAGAATCAGAGCCATATCCAAAGGTGTCATGAAAAAACATGATGGACCTTACAATGAAAGAAGTCAATGATAAGATTGATGATTTGGTTCGTAGCCATGAAGAAAAGAAGGATCAACTTCATGGTTTGGAGCAGAAAAATGCTGCAATAGATGACAAGTTTGAGCAGAAGTTTGCTGCAATAGATCACAAACTTGACATTTAAATTGTGTATCTTATAGAGAAGGGTATTATTATCTGTGAAAAATTTTCAAATGCCACAACTACTGATGTGGACAGAAGCAAGGAAAGAAGCAATGGAGAATTAAGTTAGTTTTCCAATTACTGTACCAATTTCAGAATTTTTGGGTTATAGGATATTGGCACTATTTCAGTTTTTTATTTATTTTCTACTTGTGGGTGGCTTAACAATATATTTTTATTTTTTTTGAAGGTACTATTTATGGTAACTTTCGATGTTACTATTTATAGTAATTCATGTAATTACTGTTTTTAGTAAACTCGCGGTTTACTATTCTTAGTAATTTCTGGTGTCTTAAAGTAAGTTAGTTTAGTGGGATAGGAAAGTGTTATTAGAGTTTTTTAGAAGTTGGAGTCCTTATTTAAGTGTCCTAATGGATTAGTTATGGATTTGTTTTAAAGAACTACAAGTTGTGTTGGCTCTATATTAAAAAAATGTTGCATTGGCTCAATTTCCTAGTCCAAATTGGACTCTGAAAGGGGACATCCAAGTTAGTAAGTTGAGTTTATAGATAGAGACCTTGTAATTGGAGTTGAAGGAGAGTGATATGATGAAATAAAGATTGGTTTAGTGAATTCTGGTTGTTGCCAGAAGTTTCTCTCCCCCCCGAACCCTTATTTCTTCTTTGAAGCAATCTGCCTCTTTGCTGTTTACCTTAACAGCAAGAATTTTTCTTTCTTCTAATTTCTTTCTCATTCTTTGGTAACAGCAAGCATTCTGATTGTTTCTCCATTCATATCCTTCACCTCTAATCACCCACAGCCCTCATTTACCCTCACAGAACCCACCACCAGATCCTAAGTTGGTTAGGACCCCTTCCCGTCCTACACCAGAGATACACATGACCAAGTTAAGGGGCACATGACTAGTATTGGAGGTCTGATGATAGACGATAACCTTTGTCCATCATCTTCTTCCATGATCAGAGTAAGGCTCCTTGGAGGCTGCAGCGAGAAGAGGACGACAAAAACTTTGATGCAATCAATTCCTAGCAAAGGGAAGTTGATTGTTTCTCCTGAGAGGCACAATTTGAAGTTCAACAAGTATAATAGCAAAGGGAAGGAGGTAGTTTTAGATGAAGACTCAATGTTTGGCAATGATGAAAGTGATTCTTCCTCCTTTGAATCCTCGAGCTTTGGCAGTGTGGATCCAAATTAGAAGATTAATTTGAATGAGATGAACGGAATAGTTGCTCCTAGAAGAAAAGGAAGAAGATTTAACTCAAGGAAAGGAAACAAAGGAAGTTGAGCAGGCTGCAGACAACCAAAATTGAGCAGGTTGCATCCCCTCCTTTTGTAGAGAAATTTCATCCAACCTCTCAGCAACCACAAGGTGTACGGGCAGTGGGACAAGATATCAATCACCATGAAGGATTACGTTGGGGTGCCAGAGAGGGCTGATGCTGCTGACTTCCAACCTTGAGTCTTCCATTCCCCTTGTTCACTTTCCAGGTCCTTCCACTCCAGGTACATGTGTCCTTTCAGTTTTGGTTACTGATGTGTGTGCGCTTTGCTTGTAACAAGTACACCAGCTACCCAGTTCAAAGGAGGTGAAGGGGACGGTGATGAAGAAGTGGAAGTAAGAAGACAGAAGGAGGGGGATGGAAATGAGGTAGAAAGAAGATTGGTGTTAATCTGTGAATGGTCAAGGACCTTAAACGAAAGGAACGAATAGCTGATGAAGGAATTAAGAGTCAAGGTGTGGACAGTACAATGGAGGAATTGTTGGAGAAGGATAAGATGGATCCAAATTTAGGGGTCATTAGGCAAAATCAAGGGGCCCAAAATGAGGAAGGGAATCAACAGATCAGAGTGTACTCCAGGAAGAGCAAAGGAAGAAAGAAAAAAGAAAGAAGAAAAAAAGACAGAGGTAGAGAGGCTTATCTTCGATGCTGAAAGTGACATTGAGTTTAGTGGGAAAGGAGATAGAAGGAAACACCTTAAGTAGGGAGGTTGATATAAGGAGGAGGGCTTAGGTTAAAAGTTGAAGTCATGAAAAAATAATTAGTTGGAATGTAAGAGGTTTGGGGAGTGCAAGAAAAAGAAGGGTAATCAAGGATATGCTGAAAAGGGAAAATCCTGACATTGTCTTGCTACAAGAGACTAAGGCCCATGTTTGGTTCAATTCCCATTCTTTCTCATTCTTACCCAAGACGAAATTCTAAAATGGACAAGAATGGGTAAAAATAGGCAGAATGAGAAAATATTGCTATGAACCTAACACTTTTTTCCTAAGAATAAATTTTGATGGTGTGCGATCTGACGCTCCCAATTGGCGGACAGCTCGGACGTCAGACTAGGTAGGTTGCTTGGTCGAGCTGTAAAGAAAGAGAGAAAAGATCAGAGTCCTCGGGCTGCTTTACTTGGTGTGGGCGCTCCGATGCTTAAGTCGCTAACCAAAGTCAGGTCAGATCGGTGGAAGCAAGTTGCCTCTTATGCCGACCTGAGATCTGGCCTAGCTGTTCACAGTTCGGCCTACCGGGGTGGTGCCGAGGTGTCACTCTGCTGTTTTGCAATGCCACGTGTCATGATATCATTGGAGGACCAAATTACCCCTCATCAAATTCTTTTCAGATTGACAAGTGTCCTACGTTGCTCATTTTCATTCTTCAAAAAATAAAAAATTGTCGGTATTCATAAACCGCTAGCCTAGGTCTCCAAAACTGTTGGCATAGATGTTTAGTGATGGATGGCCGGCAATCAATGTTTACCAATTGGCATAGATGTTTTCTAAAAGTACTTCCATAAAAGTGTTTTTATAAAAGTACTTTCGTAAAAGTACTACTATAAAAGTGCTTTCATAAAAGTACTTTCGTAAAAGTGCTCTAGTAAAAGTACTTTTATAAAAGTGCTTTCATAAAAGTGCTTTTATAAAAGTGCTTTCATAAAAGTGCTTTTATAAAAGTGCTTTCATAAAAGTACTTTACTTTTGCAAAAGTACTTTCATAAATTTACTTTTATAAAAGTGCTTTTGTATAAAAGTACTTATACTAAAGTGTTTTCATAAAAGCGCATTCATGTAAAAGTACTTTTGTAAAAGTGCTTTGCAAGAGTAAACATCTATGCAGTAGTTTTGTAGGCAGAGTTTCCTCAAAGAATGAAAATGAGCAAGATGGGGCATGACTATTTTTCATGCTGCAGGCTACTCAATTTTTATGCTATGGGGCTGATTTTTCATTCTAAAAAGAATGTGGCCCATGGCAAGAATGTTGTAACCAAACACTAATGTCATTCATTCTTGCCCATTCTTGCCTAGAATGAGAAAGAATTAAAAGAATGAGGCCCAGAGCAATGAACCAAACATGGCCTGAGTGTCTCACTAGGCTGTTGAGTCTTCTTGCTGAAATATGTTTGGATCCCTCTGAACCAGATAAACTGTTTTGGTCACCACAGCCTAAAGGGTCCTTCACTTGTGTTCTTTCTTCAGGTCTCTCTGTCAATCTCCCTCTCAATAGTCTTTTCCTATTAAGGAAGTTTGGTGCAGGCCATTCTCCCTAAGGTTATGGCCTTTTGTTGAGAAGTGTACTATGAGAAAATAAACACCTCGGATAATTTACAAAAGATAAGACCTTTCATTTTCTCTCTCCTAACTGGTGTATCCTTTGCAGGTCCCATGGTGAAGACTGCTACCATTTACTAATTTCATGATCTTTTACTTCGGAGTTGTGGTATTGACTCTTTTTGTTGTTTGGGTGCAGGTGGAACAGGCCAGCTGAAGTAAGCTTACATTTTGATCCTTCTACTTTTGCCTGGCACCGAAGAAGAGGGAGATTAATGTGGAGATGCACAAGAGCAGCATTGATTTGGACTGTTTGGGAAGAAATGAACGCTACAGTGTTTCAAGAGAATGAGAGAAATATACAAAAACTAAAGGACTGTATCTTGAACAGGGCTGTCCAGTGGTTGAAATACTGGAGCTTTTCCATCATTTCCCCTTTAATGATTTTTGGAGAAATTAGGCTGCAGTGTTAAGTAGCTCTTCCCTAAAGGCTAGAATAAGTGCAAGCTGGGTACCTCCTCCTGTAGGTGTCTTGAAGCTGAATTTCAATGGAAGTAGTCAAGATAATCCAGATCCTTCTGGATTGGGAGGGGTTACAAGCGATGAAGCTGGAAATGTAATTCCAAGGTTGTTAGCTGCAATTCAAGGTGTACAGTTCAATTCAGTTAGGCATGGTATAGTTTTTAAGTGAAGGAGATTCCAAGGTGGTAGTGGGATGGCTACAGAATCCAGAGTCTGTAGTGTGGTGTTATAAGAATGAAACCAAGAGGCTCAAGTGGTTAACAAGGGGTCTGATTGTAAGAGTACAATGTTGGGCGATCAACCAATGCTTTGGCTGATCGTCTAGCTAAGCAAGGGGTAGCCAGGGATCATTTATTTTGGGCACAGTTGTAGTTTGTTGTTGCCTTACAGTGTATGCAGCTCGCAGCTCGCAGCTCTCCAAGAATACTTGTATCAGTTTATTAATTTAATATAATGAATTACTTATCAAAAAAATTATCCAAACTGGGGAGGGTTGAAGATGCTACTCACAGAACTTGTTTTAAGCATACTACAAATATGAAGTAGAAATATGCTTTTGGATTGTAATATGAATGACACCTACCAATAAAACCAAAGGAAAATTGGGTGGAGAATATAAAACTATGAGCTACCTATGGAAAAGGAAAAACTGAAGGGAAATTTTTATAAGGAACCTACAATATTCAATGTGCTTCAAGGAACTGAAGGTTGTGCAATCAAGAAAAAGTATGTATAGAGTTCACAGAAATAAGGATGAAGGGACATATGGATGACAAAATCGGGTGGAGTAATGAGGGGAATTAAACTAAAACTGAATCTAAGGAAAGACAAAGATAGCGCTACTTGTAGACAATGTGAGAAAGTTGATTGAAATGGTTTAGTGATGATCAATGTACCAATGAAAATGAGTGACTTGGTGCAAGTCAGAGGTTCTTAAAGAAAAATGCAACCTGTTGCCAACAGGAACATCTAGAAACTTCCCCATGTGGTAACCTAGATGCAAGATGTTGCCAATAGGAAGGACACTATAGAGATGCATTTTAAATCATAATCTCAATATTTTTGAGATGGGTTAAATTGGGATATATTTTTTATATGCTGATAATATATTAAATTATGGATGTATAGTTAAGAAATAAATACAGATAAGTATCCCTATCAGTTTTATAGACCGACAAGGTTTTTTTTTTTGTTTTTGACAATTCGGACAAGGAAAATTTTCCCAACTAAAATGAATAAAAATACATGTTTTCACATGTTAGGTTGCTAGATACATCCCCTGATCACTTATCAAAAAAGACGAGATAAATTCCTTGATTATTTGGGGAAAACAAATTTCAAAACAAGTATATCCATAACTATGACTAGGTATTTCCAACCTGTGATAATGCTTCTTGTTCTGCTGAAGGCATTTTCTTGAGAGCCAGTTGTGCTGCATCCTTGAGCTGCAAGAAGGTCGTAAGTTCAATATAGCAAAACTTTAGGAAGAGAATAAGAAAGAACTTTGCAGCACATTGCTTAGGTGGCTAACCTGGAGGGCTTTTACACGGTCCCAAAGTGGAGGCAAGTCGGTTAATAAATTCTTCACAGAAAGCTCTGGGGGCTTTGCATGCTTGAAAAAAGAATGCTTCAGTAATTTTTCTGCCGTAGGTCTCTTTGTTTGATCTTTTACCAAGCACATAGCAACCATTTCTTTGAAAGACTGGTCACAACTGGAAATCCTTTAATTAGAATATTATTCACTGCTAAAAGAGAACTATAACAGCCAATTGAAAATATGCTTTAAGTAACCTAACTTATAAAACATATTATGAGTTATGACATAAATTTGTTGATCTATATCTTAATCTTTGCCATGCATTCACGTGAAGCAAAAGTTATAAAGATGAAAATTTTGCTCGTGTGAAGGGCAAAGTTAACACAAAATCATTAACTAGCCAAAAAGACCACTGATACCTTGGAGAACCTTTTATCTCGATCATAATCAAGTCCAGGAGGGGCATTCTGGATGGTCATGAGGAGAACCTGGCAGGAGAGTAGAAAAGAATTAGATGTTTTGCTCATTTATGTAAAAGCTTTCCAAAATACATGCTTAAAATGTATTACAGTCTGCAATTTCCACATTGGATGTATATACCTTCATCGGAGGGTATTTTGAAAAAGGAGCATGACCGTGAGCCAATTCCAGAGCTGTTATCCCAAATGACCAGATGTCAGCTCTGCAAAATATTTATACAATGATAATTATTTATAAAAAATCATAGTACAAAACTGTAGTAAATAATTTGATTTTGACATCATATTAACAAAAACCACATATTGTGTATGTAAAATCATTTGGAAAATATCAAAAATCATAATAAAGTACTAATTATTTGGAATGATAATTACTAGAACATAGAGGTGGAAGAGGGGAACTAGGGGCAAACTTTAGAGAGAGAGAAAGAGAGAGAGATCTGCCAACAGCATGGTTGTGTGTTGGCAAGACAGGATGAATAGAAATCAACCTTGGGGCGGGGGTCAATTTCCCAAGGGGGCAGTTGAAACTAGCCCATGAGAGGTGCTTGGCACTGGCACAATAACAGGGTCAGATTCGGATTGGATCCGGCCACATCTGAAGCCAATCCAAAATCTGGTCAAATCTAGGGGTCTCAGGTTAGATTTGGATTCGATCTGAGCTTATTTCTTTATTTTTAAAATAAATAAAAACCAAAAATTAATTATCTTTAACCATACATATAGAATAATTCTACAGAAACATAAAATGTGAAGTATCCAAATCTGAAAAAATCAGATTGGGTCTTGGTCTTTTGGAATCCATTGACAGCCCTACTTGGTACACTGTATATAACCACCATTCTTTATCAGACTAATAGAATATACATTACTGATAAAAAATGTTTTATAATTATAATTATTTCTCTAAAGTTGCCAAAAAATAAGAACTTTGCTTCATGAGCTGTAAGGCTTTCTACAGGTATCTGCGGCATGACTCCAAGTTCTCCAGCTATGCTATTTATTTTGTAGATGGTACAATACTCACTTGAAGTCATATCCGCTTCCGGGCTGCAACACTTCTGGAGCCATCCTGCAGAATAAAGATAATTTGGAAAGCAAATCAGGTAAATAATGGATGATGTATGATAGAGAACAACTAAAACATCCAATCAAAAGAAAAAAAAAAAAAACCATAACCATCCCACACAGTTTCACAAAAAGTTTCTACAATAGGGTGTATCATGTATTGAGTTTCTAAGTTGAAGTCTCAAAGCAAACCATCTCCAAAAACAGAGATGGTTGCTTAAGATGAACCTAAAAGATTGAAACAAAACAGTGTTATTTTTAAAACTAAGTTTTCTTATAATATTTGGAATTTTGCTTTTTAGAAAGAATGCCTGGAACTCCAACAACTAGTAACTTGGTGAGGTTGAGGAACAACTTATTAGTACGGTAATAACTGTTCACCTACTAAAGTTTTTGTTTGAGGGATGGGATTTCTAGTGCATATTTAGTTCGGCATTAGACACCCTAACAATGCACATTTTGATAATCTTTTCTAGTATTTACTTCTACTACTACTACTACTACGCACACACACACAAAGCATATTATCAAGGAAACTAGGCAAGGCAAGATAGCATAGCATCTTGCCTTCTAATCCACAAATCACACAAAAAAAGATAATGATAACATGGAGTCTAATAAAGCAACCAAGAAGTAGAATACATAATGTAGCATGCTAGTAATATCAACTTGTAGTGGTTTAGAGTATGCTAAATCCAAGGTCCTCTTTTCCTCTATTTCCATTCCAGATTATAGGGAACTAACTGAAATCACTAAGCTCCTATCAAAAAATTTAAATTACTAAGCTGAATCTATAATAAGATTTTGGGAAATCAAATGGAAGCATGCACCCAAAGTCCTACAAGATATGGGATTACCACTTAGGCTAAAGGAAAATCTTATAAAATGGTTACAAGGCCAGCAATTTTGTATGGAGCTTAATGGTGGGCAGTCAAAGAAACATGTCAAAATAAATAATAATAAGTGTAGTAGAAATGCAAATGTTGACATGAATGAGTGGGAAAACTAGAAAGGATAGGATCAGTTTTGAAGGAACCTAGGATGATTCATTCCAATAGATGATAAAATAAAGGAAAGTAGACCTTGCAGTACCTAGGTCTCCTTTTAGGTGCCAACCCAAAGGAGAGTAGTTTTTGGACCCCAGTTTTGGAAAAGTTTGAGAAAAGATTAGTTTCTTGTAAACTATATCTCATTAGGGGTAGAGTAACCTTACTGAGAGCCACCCTAGTGTAAGTACATGTGGTTCCCCGTGTCTATGAATGCAATGAAGGTATCAAACCAAAACAGCAGAAACACCTGTGGCGACATGGAAGCCACCAAGGGCTTGTGGTGAACCCATCCATAACTCATCACAGGCTTGCGATGAGCTCAAAGCCATCGTGGACCTGCAACAAGCCGAAGTTACTTGTGATGAGACATCCGGCAGATGACGGAGCAATTAAGCAAACACGTCAGACTAGCTTTGACGTCATCCGCGCCATGTAAATACGGGAGACCCATAAGAGGAAGTACGCACATGTGTCATGAGAATCCTCGAATGAAAGGAAACTTCATCCTAGGAAGATCTCACTCGACACGTGGTGAAACCCTGGTAGTGTCCTCCTAGCAATCGACATCGAATCAAGGATTCCCTTTCCAAGTAGGAATCAAACCCCTTTTTGGCTCCTCTTTAGGGCCTCGGAGCCTCCCCTTATAAAAAGGGGAATAAAGTGTAATGGGGGCACAATTCCATCAACCTTGACAACTCCGTTAACCTCTGCTACCCAAACCTTTCTTCGTCCTTCAAGGAGACCACCAATACCTAGCCTTACCACCATACTTGCACCTAGCAAACTTGTTGGTGTATTACTTCTCTGTTTTTAGGATTCCTGTTAGGGAGGCTAAGAAGTTAGAAAGATTAATGAGAAATTTTCTTTGGGAGACGGAGGAGGAAAAAAAGAATCATTTTTTTTATCGATAACAAAGATTTCATTAAGAAACAAATAAAGATACAAGGTTATCTCCCCTAACAAGAAACAAAACAAGCTAAAACATTACAGTTGTTCCCAAAACAATGTATCCTTGTTTACCCCTTGTTTTGCTAACCCATCAGCAAAGGAGTTAGCACACCTCTTGACCCAATTTACTTCAATTTCCATGTTTTTGGTTAACCACTTGAATCTCTTCTTTTCATTGTTGCACCTCCACACCCCATTTTTGTCTTCAGCCACTCCACCACCAGCTTGGAGTCCCCTTCAATGATCAACTTTTGTAAATTTAACTCCTTAGCTCTTTGAACACCTTCCAATGCCGCCAAGATGTCAGCTCTAAGAGAGTCACCAGGTTCAATTGGACCCGAGAACAAGACAATTATTGTCCCTTTCTCATCTCTTAGAACACCCCCAATACCCGATGGCCCTGGGTTGCCGAAACTGCTTCCATCAAAGTTCAGTTTGTAGCAGCCACTAGGAGGGAGGCCCAAAATGGAACTACTACTTCTTGACTCGGGGCTAAAAAAGCAACTTCTCTCCACTTTCTTAATAGGTCATCCGATGACGCACTATTGAATAGCTCCATAGATTTAAGCCAATGTATTACCCTGATACAAATTACCTCTAGAATAGGTTCCTTGCTCCTCTCCTTACCAAAGATTATTCTGGAAGTTCTTTCTTCCCAAATGGTCCAAATGATAGCAGCCCTTACACAACACCACATCATTCTTTCCCTTTTCTTTGGCAGTTTGAAAAACGAAGGTGCAAACAACCTTTTCACATCTGGTGGCGAGTTCCACCTACATCCAAACAACAAAGAAAACCATTCACATAAACCTTTAACAAAAGTACATGAGATTAGTAAATTGTAGCAATTCTCACCATCGACCTTACAAAGATAGCACCAGCAAAAGGGGACAAACAACTCTCTGGTCTTTTCTTTTTAAGTCACAAGTGTTGATTCTTTCCAGGTATGCTTCCCAACAGAAACTTCCAATCTTAGGCAAGATAGGTTTACTCCTCACCTCTTTAATAGGGAAGGATGGACCCCCACTAGCTACCGAAAGGGTTAGGGCATTGAAAAAGGAAGAGCAAGTAAACAACCCATGAGGAGTAGGAGTCTAGATTCTTTTATCAGAAGGGTCCAAATACGCCCCATCAAGGATGCCCATCAAAGACAAGGTACAAATTAATTCGGAATCCCTAATAGCCTTCCTAAAACCTAGATCCCAATTAAACCCCATCCTAGAATTAGAGGGAACCAACAAGGTAGAAATAGGCTCATTTTTGTACGAAGATAATGCAAACAACGAAGGAAATTGATCCCTCAAGGGGGTGTCCCCTACCCATACTTGTTCCCAAAACTTAATAGAGTTTCCAGAATATACATTATACCTGATCCAAGGCAAGAACAAAGGAAGAATAGCTTGGATGAATTTCCACAGAGATGCTTTTGTAGTCCTTGCTCTAATTCCAGTGTCCTGGCCATTTGCCACTAGCCCATGTATGCTCACCACTACCTTGGGTTTAGGAAGGCTAGTTCTCAAGAATAAAGCTCTCTTAGGAAAATGGTTGTGGAGGTGGCCCATAGAAAGGGAGAGATTGTGGCATGAAGTGATAACTAGTATACATGGTAGGTTGGAAAATGGATGGGATGTCGGTGTATCGCGTCGAGCTACATTGGTAACTCCTTGGAAAACAATTCAGAGTGTCCTCCCTAATTTCCTCAATTTTGCCAGGTATGATGTCTGCTCTAGTAACTCTGTTTTATTTTGGGAAGACATTTGGGTGGGTAGCTCTGCTCTTAAGGATCGATTTCCTTTCCTCTATTCCCTTTCACTCTACAAGGAAAAAGCTATCTCTCATTTTCTTCCAACACTTGTCTCACCTTCCTCCTTGAGTTGGGACTTTGGATTTCGTAGGGGCTTGAGGGATCATGAACTTATTTGTGTTTCAGACCTTTTGTCAATTCTTGGTGCAGTTTTTTTGGACCCTCTTAGGTTGAATGTGAGATTATGGTCCCCTCATCCAAAAAGGTTACTCCATATGCGCCTCCTTTTTTAAGACCCTTTGCTCTTCCTGGGACAGTTGGGTTTTTCGACTAAGGAGAATTGGTCTAGACCTGTTCCACCTAAAATTATTATTTTCTGCTGGGAGGTGTTTTATAGAAAGATCAATACCTTGGACTGCTTGCAAAAGAACAGGCCTTTCATGTGTTTGTCCCCTAACTGGTGTGTAATTTGCAGGGCTAGTGGTGAGGATTTGCTCCCACTTACTTTTATCCTGTTCTTTTTCTGTTGCTATTTAGCATTGGATCTTTGCTTTGTTTGGGTGCAGGAGGAATCTGACCATAGAGGTAAGTCAGCTATTTGATCCTTCCTTTTTTGTGCGGCCTACAAGAAAAGGTAGAACTATGTGGAGATGCATTCGAGCAGCTGCCTTGTGGACAATTTGAGAAGAAATAAACCTGAGATTATTCCAAGAGAAGGAAAGAAGCATTTAGTCTGTAGAGGATTGCATTTTGACTATGGCAATCCACTGGTTGAGAACTCTGGACTCCTTTCACACCTTTTCTTTTGATGATATCTAGAGGAACTGGATAGTTGTGGCAAACAATCATACTGGACAGGACAGCATACCAGCAGTGTGGGTGCCTCCTTCTGAAGGTTGGGTAAAGCTGAATTTCGATGGCAGTAGCCAAAGAAATCCAGGCCCATCGGGGATAAGATTGGTGCTGAGAGATAAGGACAGCAACATTTTAGCCTTGTTCTCAGGCCCCGTGGGAATATGAGACTCTAACAGAGCTGAGTTATTAGCGGCAGTACAAGGAATTCAGACTGCAGACCGATTAGGAGTTCAGAATCTGGTAATTGAAGGAGACTCCAAAGTTGTTGTGGGATGGTTGACAAATCCAGACTCAGTTATATGGCGATACAGGGACCAGTTGAGGAAAGTTAATTGGATCTCAAGGAGTATGACTATTACCCCTCTTTGGGTGGACAGAACAGCAAATACCTTAGCGGATGGGTTAGCTAGGCAAGGGGCCTCAAGGGAACAATTATTTTGGGCAGCACAGTAATTTTTTTTGTTTTAGCTTGATGTATTACTTTGTTAGGAGAGGTAACAGCTCGTGCCTCTCCATGGGTATCCTGTAATGACCTAACTTCTTGATCTGTTCTTTAATAAAAGCATTTTCATTTATCAAAAAAAACAAAGGAAAGTAGACTTAAATGGTTCAGTCACATGCAGAGAAGACCATCCACAGCACTAATGAGAAGAAGTGATCTATATTACAAGTTGAAGGATCTAGAAGAGCTACATGCAGACCAAAAAGGACAAGGATTGATGTAGTAAGAAATGATTAAGGGCCCAATAATTTAACAATAGACATGGCACTGAACAGAGCAGAATTATAAAACAGGACTCATGTAACTGAACCCATATAGTTGGGATAAGGCTTAGTTGAGTTGATTTGAGTTGAAATGCATCATCATTTGTGAAGAAAAGTTTTTTAGCAGATTTTGCAGGTCCAACTTCCCTTTAGGTCCTTGATCTACATCAATCTCCAGGAGGTTGATCCAGCATTACCAAGATTGCTACATTCATATCCTTTGTTAGAACTGTTACTAAAGTTCTTCCTTCCACATTACAATCTACCTTTTAACAAATAGAATGTCAACTTAATCTAAACTTGTTAGGTATATTGTGGGTCTAGATGTATCTTCTGATTAACTGTGTTTTAATTGTCAAACCAGATTACCAGAGGAACGAAAATCATGGAAGCTGGTTTCAGGTTTAGATTTTTGTTTCTTCAGGGAGGCAAACACTCTTGTTGCTGATTAGCATGACTTTATAATTAGTTGGACTAGAAGCTATAAGAATCACATTGAGAAGAAAAGATTTAATTGGAAATGGATTAGTATTAAGGAAAGGTAATATCTCACCAACATGGAGTTCCCACAAATGTGTTTCTTGAGCGTTGCCTATCACCTTTATCAAACATGCAAGCTGAAACACCAAAATCGCCAAGCTTGACCACCCCATTACGATCAAGAAGGATATTGCCAGCCTGAAAAGACAAATGTTACCAAAACTTTTCTTATGCGGATCGTCCAGGAAATAAATAAGGCTGCTGAAGATGTTATGTCAATTGCAATTAACTAACCTTGACATCACGATGGATATGTCCATGTCGATGGAGGTACTCCAATGCCTTAAGGGTTTCTTTAAGGATAGAACCAATTAAAGACTCTTCAAACCCATCTGGATATGCTACCTTCATAAGGTGCAGGCAAGAACCCTCGGCCATGAATGGCATGACCACCCAGAGATTCCGGTCAACAACGAATGAACAATATGCCCTTATTACATTTGGATGATCTATTAAACTCATTGTTTGGGCCTCCCTACGTATATCATCCTACAACAAAGGAAAATCCCCTTCAGATGAATCATCCAAAAGAAATATAGTGCATAACAAGGTCAAAACCAGCACTTGTTTTGGGCTATAATAAAATTTAGGCTGTTGGAATACACCAACATGTATTGTACTAAATCAAAAATCATCATCTAATAAAATTTCTTTTTTTGATCAAAAAAGGGTCAAAACCAGTATTGTCAGATTTAAACTGGACCAGACAGTTGGACCACCAGAAATGAGAACCAGCAGCCAAAATGGTTTTTGGGCTGCCTAGTTCTCAGGAATGCTGGCTTGATCAAATACATGTTCAAATGCCTCTCATACCCCATTTTTTTTTCTTTTTTTATCAATAACATTTCATTACTTAATCACAAAAGAATTACAGAGAGGAGGATAAACTTTCTCATACCCCAAAATATTTATTGTTTCAAGTTTATTCTGATAGAAAATAGCTTCAAAAGATATTCTAGAATTGCTTTCTGTTTTTAAAATTTTTCTTTTTTTACATTTTTTATTTGAATGCGTCAAACGGTTGAACCAGATAGACCTGTGACTAGTCACTAAAATGGTTCTGTGTCCTGTCCATTTCTGACAAAATTGGTCCAAAACCACACATTTTCATTTCTGACCCTTGACACATTCACCATCTAAATCCAGTCCTCCAAAATTATTGCTCTTGCACAGATCCATCAATGAAAATAGTGAACAAAGGGTGACAAATCAGAAATATGAATATTCACATCCTTAAACCACTCATAAGGTGATTCAGAGACTTCAATATTTTATCTCTCCATTTGGCTCAACAGAATTAATAATTCATTACCAGTGTTTTAAAAGGCATGGGAGGCGTACGCCTGGAGGCACACCTCCAGGCGAGGCGCTCCCAAAACGCCCTGAGGCATATGCCAGAGGCGCTGACACAGGTGCAAGAGGCGTACGCCTCATGCGCTTTTTTCATGAGGCGTGCTAGAGGCATACGCCTCATGTACCTCGTGCACATCTTATATTTTTTTATCATAAACGGTAACTTTCATTAGACAGATTAAGAGAATACACTGTCACCACCCAGTTAAGGGTGTTTACCCCAAGAAAAGCACTTTCTAATTACAGAACATCCCAAAACAAGTTTTCCCTGAAAGTTCCTTGCTTTGCAAGGGTGTCGGCTAGTCCATTCGCTGACCTCCTTGTCCACTTGAACAGTGCCCCA